TTATGCAGGCAGACCTTCTGGCTGCCGCCCATGGGCACAGCATGAATAACTGCGGTGTCGTCACATCGGTAAGTTTTCAACTGTTACGAGACCCTTTTTCGGGCTTAATTTGCTAATTTTCTCGTCTATAGTCCATCCACGCCGATATTGCATACACCCTCGGCAGCTATCTACACCGCAAGCTGAACCCCAAGGCCAAGAAGGATATCAGCATGAACATTGCCAATCTCGTTGTCACCAAGGGTCTTGTCGCGCAATCTAACAAGAAGATCCCCCAGCTATTCCGCGTGACTGCTACCACTGCTGATGTTGGCTCTGGAGTCGTCGACTTGACCTGGCAGAACGTAGACAATGATGGCCACGCTCATGAGCCCTTCGCCACCGCCAACATTTATTACCAGAACGATGTCTCCGAGTGGCTCTCGTCGTGGGCCCCCCTCGCGCACCTCATCCAGAGTCGGATCGAAGCGCTCGAGCACCTGGCGACGCAAGCCAGAGCTAGCCGCTTCTCGCGCAACATGGCATACACCCTCTTCGCCAGCAACCTGGTGACCTATGCGGACAAGTACCGCGGCATGCAATCCGTTGTCCTGCATGACCTTGAAGGATTCGCCGACGTGCAGCTTACCACCCAAGAGAGCGGCATCTGGACTGTCCCACCGTACTTTATAGATAGTGTCGCGCACCTCGCAGGTTTCATCATGAACTGCTCCGACGCCATTGACACGGCTAACAACTACTGCGTCACTCCCGGCTGGAGCGCGATGCGCTTCGCAAAGCCTCTGATCCCAGGCGCCCGGTATCGTTCGTATGTCAAGATGATCCCGACAACCGAGGACCCGACGATCTACTTAGGCGACGTATACGTCCTGCAAGAAGACGGGGCCATTGTCGGCGTAGTGAATGGTATTCAATTCCGTCGCTACCCTCGCATTCTGCTTAACCGGTTCTTCTCGCCGCCGGATAAAATGGCTGCGATGGAGGGTAAACTGCCTAACTCTCAACCACTACCAGCACCAGAACCAACACCGGCACCGGCACCAAAGCCGGTCCTCCCTACACACGCCTCCGGCCTCGGAAGTGACTCTGAGCCCCCCGCCGCTCCGCCGAAGGATGTCTCACCCGCTGCCACAGATGTTGCGGCAGCTCCATCCATCGAGGCCGCCGCTGCGTCGGGCAGTATCACCGCGAGGGCCATCATGCTTATTGCCAACGAGGTTGGTCTAGATATTGCTGATATGGAAGATGGGGCTGGGTTCGCTGAGCTAGGTATTGACAGTCTCATGTCGCTGGTCATAGCAGAGAAGTTCCGGACCGAGCTGGATGTCAAGGTCAGCGGGAGCCTGTTCTTGGATTATGAAACGATTGGGGATTTGAAGGAGTGGTTGGACGAGTATTATAGCTAGCCTAAAGGAGAGAAGACAGATTTTACTAGTATTGAAGGTGGACATGATTGATTGATGGAGCTATAGTTTGGTGCTACGCTTTCGAGTTGATTGATAAATTACGTCCGTATATTCGTGAAGTATGATAGTGGTGATACTAGCAGATACCTGAATTATTCTTCCATTTAAGAGCTATTCAATTGGTTTGTAATCTGTCATGTAGTGGTTATTTAGGGTCACTTAATGGACCATGTATATTGATTGCGTCTTCACATCCCCGTGTATGACGATGCCCCCTGTTCTAGGGAACAACCTTTCACCCCATTGTCCACCAGAATATGAGTTTGTATTTCAGACCGTTCTACTGTCCATTTTCACTGAGGTAATGGACGGAGGCTCATCCGGAGTGGGTTCAGTTACGCCGATACCCTTTATCCCGCCTGGACGTCTACCTAGACTGATAATACCCCGAACAATGTCCCGACAATCAGAACCATTTCTCGTCCCTATGCAGAGAATATAATCCTAATTCATTACAGGACTGGGGTCGTCAGGCGGATTCGCACACTGAGCTTCACAGTGATTCTCAAATATTATTGAACCAGCCATACTGCACAGCTTCTGCCACTGTTGTGTGCCTCGTTTAACCCACATCTCATTTCTGCGATGGGCAAGGTTGCGGCAGCCTCACAACTGCCCGGCATGGACACATCCAGCCGGATATTCGCCCAGGATGATGAGTTCTGGGACAACTATTCGCGTGGCCGACCCCAAGTCCCGGATACCTTCTGGGACCGCATCTGGAGCTTTCACGAGACCAAAGGCGGCGCTTTTGACACCGTTCATGACATCGGTGCGGGGAACGGGCCTTACGCCCAGCTACTACGCTCTCGCTTCGCTAACGTCATCGTATCCGACATCGTGGCCGACAACATTGGTCTCGCCCAGGACCGCCTCCGGGGCCAGGCTGGATTTGCCTTCCGCACCGCCGCGCTGGAGGACGCCGACGACATCCCCGCCGGCAGCATAGACATGGTCTTTGCGGCGAACGTCATGCATTTCGCCGAGCCGCAGCACGACGCAATGGAGACAATCGCGCGCCAGCTGCGGTCCGGAGGCACGTTTGTGGCGTCGCTGTTTGGGCCCGCTCGCTTTCGCGATGCAAAGGTGCAGGATCTGTGGGAGCGGCTCAGTCACCAGGGGGGCAGGGAGCTTCTCCGCGTGTCTGAGGATCCGGACCAGGTGGTCAAGATCATGGCACGGACGCAGGACCAATACAATGTCGCGCCACTTGACCGGGCGCTTTTTGGCGACGAGGTCCGCATCCATGTGAATATGGAACATGGAGGCATTCAAGGGATGTTGCCACCGGAATTTGCGCACTGGAATCAGGAGCCGGATTACGGCGCGGGCGACCATGACTCGCATGAGGAGATGGAGGGATGGACCTTTGAGACGGACCTGCAGGGCGTGACGGAGCATTTTGGGTCCTTTCCATTTATCTCGCGGTTTTCGGACGCTTTGGCGGACTTGTTCCAGGAGTTGAACGAGTTGCTGGCTAGCGAGAAGACTGTCAAGGGCTATTTTCCTGTCATGATCATTTTAGCCACTAGAAAATAGACTGTTTTCTATATTAATTACAGTTATAATATGTGGATTTGTAGTCAACCGGTAGTAGTAAATAGTAAAATATCAATAAATGATCCCAACTCTCAGTCAACTTGCCGGTATGTTGGTAATAGCCCGAGATATACAGACATACTATATAAAGGGAATGAGTATGTTCCAACCACTTGTGAACTACTTGTACTTGTCACTTCACTTAGATTGACTATATACATCAACATGCCTGCTCCCGCCCACATTCAGGGAGACACTATCGACAAGTTCCTCGCAGCATGGAAGGATGGCAACGCCCAAGGGACTATCGGCCTCTGGTCCGATGAGTTTGAGCAGCAACTACTGCCTCACTCGCTGCAACAGCCAACTCGATCCCGAAGCCACGCCGAATTCTTCTATCCTAAGCTAGTAAATGGGTTGACAAACTGGAAGGTAAGCGCACATTTCACACATTTGTACAATTCCACAGTCCAAAGAATCAAAAAAAATTAATCCTATGGCTAGCTGGACATCAAGCATATCGTCCACGACGCAGCCAACGGTACGGCCGCAGTGTATGCAACCTCGTCCGCAGATACGCCGATTCCCGAAGAGAAATGGACGAACGAATATGCCATCTTTGTGTGGTTGAGCGAGGATGGACTGAAAGTGCAAAGGTTGGAGGAAATGGTGGACTCTTCGTTCTATAACCACTTCTTCCCCTTGTTCCAAAAGCACCTGGCAGAGCAGGGGGGTCTCCAGTAGATACACCTTGCATTACAGACAGATACTATGTTTTACTAGTACATGATGGAGATCCAATCGTCCGAACTTTACCGGGACAAATGTGCCGCCGAGTAGCATGGTAATCGTCTAATACTCCGAGGGGTAATATAGAAACAATCATCAGCTCGCCAGTTGAATGATCAACGTCGATTCTCCTGTAGCAGTAGGTGAGCTGATAAGGAAAACGAAAACATGCCCTCCCCCAACATCTATGCCGTCTTGGGCTCCACCGGAAATTGTGGCACGGCACTCATCCAAAACCTCCTTCGGAATCCCAACGCCCACGTCCACGCCTACTGTCGCAACCGGCCCAAGCTTCTCCGTCTCTTACCCAGCCTCGACGACGAAAAGAGAGTCAAAATTTTCCAAGGCAGCATCCAGGACAGTGCCCTTTTGACCTCATGTCTGAGTGACTGCCGGGTGGTGTTCCTAGTGGTCTCCACCAACGACAACATCCCCAACTGTCATCTCGCCCAAGACACGGTCACGGCCGTAATCCGATCGCTCCGTAGCATCAGGGAGCAGACGAACCTCGGGGACAATAAGCCACAGAAACTACCCAAGCTCGTCCTGCTGTCATCCGCGACCATTGACGACCACTTCTCCCGCCACGTCCCATACCTCCTCCGACTAGTCCTCCTCCGTTCGGCCTCGCACGTCTACAACGACTTGATCGAGACCGAAAAGATCCTTCGCGCGGAAGGGGACTGGCTGACGACCATATTTGTCAAGCCGGGCGCGCTCTCTATCGATATTCAGCGAGGACATGCGCTAAGCCTGACCGACGAGGACAGCCCCCTGTCCTACTTGGACCTGGCGGCTGCAATGATTGAGGCCGCAGAGGACGTGAATGGGAGCTATGACATGCGGGATGTGAGTGTGGTTAATGCAAACCAGAAGGCCAAGTTCCCGAGGGGAACTCCGATGTGTATCTTCATGGGGCTGCTGCGACACTTTTTTCCATTTCTGCACCCTTACCTGCCGTTAAACACGGGGCCGTAATAGTTTCCTTTCATCGTGAGGCGATAGACAGATTTTATATATCGAGAGGTCGTGGTAGAGACGGCTACATATTATTAGGGCTAGGGTTATGGATACGTGATTTGGGGATTGCCATGATTTTGAGAACGATTGAGAACGAACAACACGTAATGAGTATAGTAGTATTTATTGCATGATTTATTCCATGTTCTCTATGGCAAAATCCATGTTGTTATTCCAATACCATCATCACGCCGCGCCGCCGTCCAGAGTAATGACCTTGCCATTCACCCACTCCCCCTCCTTACTCACCAGAAACCCAACCACGCCAGCAATATCCTCCGGGAACCCATTCCGATGCAACGGCGATGCAAAAGCCGCCATGTGCTGGCGCTCCTCGGCCGTGAACTTCTCTCCGTCGGGAATATAGTGGTGCGACACGGCGTGGAACATATCCGTCACGGTGCCCCCCGGCGCAACCCCATTGACCGTGATCTTCTTATCGCCGCAGTCCTTGGACAAAATCCGCACAAACGAGTCAATCGCACCCTTGGAGGCTGAGTAGAGCGAGTGCCGCGGGACACTAAAGTCCTTAGACGTGTTGGACGACGTAAGTACGATGCGCCCGCCCTCCTGCAACACGCGGTAGGCCTCGCGGGCCACGAAAAACTGGCCGCGCGTGTTAAGGCTAAAGACGCGGTCAAACTCCTTCTCTGTCACGTCCTTGAGGTGGCCGAAGCTGACCACGCCCGAATTGCTGACGGCGATGTCGAGCTGGCCAAAGTGCGCCACGGCAGCGTCGAAGAGCTTGGCCGTCTGCGACACGTCACGGACATCCGCCTGAATGGCAATCGCGTCCGAGTTGAGGCGCTTGATCTCGGCCACGACCTTTTCGGCGTGTTCGGCTGAGTGGGCGTAGTTGACGACGACTTTGGCGCCCAGACGACCGAGTTGGATGGCGATTGCTGCCCCGATGCCACGGCCTGAGCCGGTGACGAGCGCGACTTTACCGTCTAGGCGACCGGGGATGTAGGGGGTAGTTGACATATTGATGTAGATGTAGAAGTATCACTAGAATGGATAGTGCCTTTTTGGGGATGAAAAAGCCAGCCATGGCCCTTTTTAATAGATCATATATTCTCTATAATCAAGAATCACGGAATCACGGCGTCTACCATGTCCGACTCCTCCCGAAATGGCGAGTTTGTCTCGGGAGGTCAGACTCGGGACATTAGATATATGCCGAAGTATGGATCAAGAGGAAGATAAAAGCCAATTATGTGGTTTTTCTTTTTCATTGTCTAAGTTTTGACACCCTCCTCCATCACTACTAGTCAGTAATCATGACCAAAGCCGCCTACCAGCCCCCTGCGTATGAAGGTACGTACGGATTCTTTTTCTCTCCCTCACTACCTGCCTCTGAACATTAACAAGCTGGATCAATTCCAATTCAGCCATCGCAGGCTGTCAACTTGCACTCTTTGAATGGGCCGAAAGCTACGACAGCAAGGACTGGGACCGCCTTGCCAAGTGCATCGCCCCAACACTGCACGTACGTACTTACCCTTGCCCTATTCCCCAAAACCTTCAGCCACGCCACCAGTTACCTGACGTGAGTAGATCAACTACAGCTCCGTGATGGGCCAGGAATGGGAGTCCATGCCCGCCGACGACTTTGTCGCGCTGGCGTCGAGCACCAATTTCCTCGGCAACGCGCGCATCAAGACGCAGCACTTGATCGGGGCCTCGAAATGGGTGCAGACGGGAGAGGATACGGTCACGGGGTATCACCAGATGCGCGTGGCGCATCAGAAGTATGGCGATGAGGCGCTGACGGAGGTGTTGGTCAAGGGCCATGCACATGGGAAGGCGACGATTCAGTACCGGAGGGTGGAGGGCGAGTGGAAGTTTGCGGGACTGGAACCGGATATTCGATGGAAGGAGCATGATGTTGATGGAATCTTTCACGAGTAGCTATTATGAGACCTAGCCATCACGATAGATGTTGTCTCCAGTCTGTTGATAGAGAGATCAAGATACCTAGGCCGTGAACCCCTATGCGATGTGGGTTGGGAGGTTATATACCCAGGGCAACCACAAAAGCATATAAGCGCAATCCTCCTTGGCCATTTAGGTTGGGGCAAGGAAGATGATTTTAATCGCATCTTAAAATGTATGTGTAGCATGCTCATCCACCGCCTAGGTCCTATTCTACTGCCTTGGCAGGGACCAAAACAGTCAGATTGTTCCGCCTCGGTGAATAAACCTACCCAAGGGCCGAATTTCCTAAAGTGTGAGATCCGACTTCCTTTTTTCCTCCCTGGCAATCTCCGCAGAGCCGCAAACCTTCAAACATCGTCTCGGGCAGCGCTGGCGCCATCGTAAACTCCCCAGCAAGGACAGGCCGAAAAGTGTCATCGCACGCCTCGTTGGGCCTGGCTTCCATGGGCTGGTAGGTACTATCGGGCTTGGGCTCAGCCGAATCTGGACTAATGAGCTTGAGGGGTTTGATGTAATAGCCCATGTTGATATCGTAAAATGAAACCTGGGCCATTGTGGATAAAGAGTGTTTCTTATTCTTTGATATGCAGTAAAAGTGGCTTGGACAAGGGCACAGCTCTACATATACTTATATGTATACTAAGCGTACGCTAGGTGTATTGGGAGACGCTAATCGGAAATCATCGAAAGGCCTGTCTGATCGAAGTAGTAGAATGTTGTGCATATGCATACCTATGCTGCGTTAAACATATGTGAAATACATACGGTAACAGAAGTAATACTCGCTCAGTCACTGGACCAGCACGCCTCCACTCGAGTGGATACTCGTGCCCGTGATGTTCGAATCCCTAAGCAGGTAAATAAACGCCTCCGCCACCTCCTCCGGTGTGCCAACCTTGCCCAATAGAGCCGTCGAAGCATAGAACTCCCTCGTGCTCTTACGTTGCTCCGGCATCTCCCCCCAGATCTCTGTCTCCGTCGGGCCAGGATGCACGACATTGACCCTCAGCGGAGCTAAATCCAGCGCTAGCGCGCGCGTCAGCCCATCCAGCCCGGCTGCGTATGCCGCTCCAGTTGGCCACCCCTTTATGGGTTTCTCGCCGAGCCTGCCACCGCAAAACACCACGCTCGAGGTGTAGCTCGGCTTGAGGAACCGCGGCGCGAGTTTGGCGACTAGGATCGGCGCGACTAGTATGAGCTGGGCCTGGTCGAAGAGGTAGTCACGGTCGGTGCGGGCAAGGGGCCGCGTTGCTGGTTGGCCCGCTGTGACGACGATGTGGTCGAGGAGCTCTGAGCCGTCGGCCGTGGCGTCGGCTAAGAGCTGTTCGAGGCGCTGCTCGACATCCGGCTGGGCAAGGTCAACGGCGAAGCCCTTGATGTTCGTGTCAGGCATTGTTGCTGGGGACTCGGATTTGATCCTAGTGACAGCGTTTGCTACGCGTGCGGGGTTGGACGACGCGATGGACACGCGGACGCCTTGCTCCGCGGCGAGTCGGGCGACGGCGGCGCCAATGCCTGACGAGCCGCCAATGACGAGGAGAGATTGACCAGCAATCGAGGGCATTGTGGTGATATGGAATGATATGATGGAGGGGTGTGACGTGTCGGTTGCAAACCTTGACAGTACATATACGTCTTTATACCTCTATCTTGACATGATTTGTAATTCCTGCCTGCGTCTTCGACCTTGTTTGTCACCGTGGGACAAATGAATAATTACCCCGGGTGACGTAGTCCTGTCCAAGGTATTGGTCGGCAGCATTGGACGAGGGATGGCCATCATCACGACCTGCATACCTAGAATCACGACATGGATACTGATCGCACTTTAGAAATTGTTTAGTCACGGTTGCTGTTGCCCAAGTCCACGGGTGGTGCTATATTTATTACTAATTACTACACAACTCAGATTATAACATTTTCATTTTTTTTTTCTCGTTATAAAGTCTCTTTCCGAGCTATATATTCCAAGGTTGTAGTCGGAAACCCGCCCGTAGGGGACATCCATGGTCGTTTGTGTTGAAACCCCAAGTTAATTCTTCATAATTCACATGCATCGGGTCCTTTCCAACGCTAAGCCCTGATTGATTCCACGCATACATCGCTTTATGCATACGTCAAGTCCTGCAGAATTCCTACGGAATCGGGACTAGTGGCGTTCACGCAGTTTGATGCCTCTACCACACATTCCGCCATATAAACTCGAGTGCAGTATCTTATATCTCAGGATGGCATTTCAATTCAGGATACATTTGTTCAATGGAATCTGGGAGAATTTAGCACTCAATACTAACACCGCTCTTTGCGCTTCTTCTTTTTGATTCTCTTATTACAAACGGATATTAGTGAGCGATTTACAGGGGTGGAATTGAAGCCATAGAATTGAAGCCTATGGCTTCATTCCCAAGTATGAAGAAGATTAGATAATTTTACAATTCTAATTCTACACCTTGTGAAAGATTCATTTTTACATGCTGCTTAGTATATTATTCAACAGTTTAGCATTTCGGATTCCTTTATTAAGGAAAATACATATTATCTACACATCTCTGATCGTACTCGATAAGAACCCCGACTGTGGAACGACTCCGCAGGAACTACTGTACCAAATAATCACCAGCCATTGACTATGGAGAAATGTCGGGACGGGCCGAGACGCGAACCCCTGAACCGCCCGACCGCGACGAACACGAAAAGTCACCGGATTCTTGAGACCGAGACGCACCACCAGGCCGTCTAATAACTATGACCAAGAGCAAGAGATTGACATCCAGCAGAGAAATGTGCGCTCCCAGCGGAAGAATGAGGCCCAGGGCAAGCCTGTAGCCCAACGTGAAGCGGTAACTTCGGACGATGCCTTAACCGAGAGCGACGATCTGAACGCCGCCGACCTGGTGAAAGAGCTCGTGAAACTCAGGAGAGACATCAAACGGCGAGATGGTTTATATAGAGAAGAGATACAGAAAGTACAAGAAGCACTGTGGAAAGTCAAGGAAGAATTCAGCGCCGCCCCTATAGAAGCTCGACATAAGCTACAGACCCTGATAGATAGGCTAGATAGGCCCCTTACACCGTAACCCTTTTCCGAACCATGCTCCTAGAATGGCCACGATTAGATCCTTCGCGAAATCTAATCCTTACGCGTTATACTCAGTCCTGTAGACCCTACCACGGGATCCCCTTCCTATGCAGATATTACCTATACTCCTCTAACTAATTACCCGAGCAATATACGGACTCTCTCATAGTCGAACACGACACCGACTACCTTCACTAACACGTTCTGTTACATGATAGACACCTCGAACATGGTAAACAACGAAAATGAAAAGATGTCAGAAGGTCCGATCCGGGCGGCGGTTAAAACACAGATCCGGATGATGGAAAAGCACACGCACTAGCGCTGTCGCACCGTTACGGTGGATTCGAAAAACATAAACCGGATCAGAATAGTATATCGCGATAAAGCTGAATACCAGCTAGTCAAGAAAGTGGCGGAAATAAAGATCGGCGAAGGAGCCCGAGTGCTCCGTGACGAGCTTTACTTGATTAAAGTCGACAGCGCTAACAGAGCCGCAGTTCTGGACGAAAAAGATGAGATCCGAGCTAGAGCTATAGCGGCCTTTAGTGAGGAGAACGAAGCCACCGTTACTAAGATCGCGTGGCTTAGCAGAAAGGAATGTGACAGAAATCGGTCTGTATCAGATGTTATGGTAAAACTCAATATATTGCAACTCTCTGACTAGCAATAAAACAGGATAAACGCGCGAATATAAATAGACAAAATTGTCATCAAGCATCAACCCCAACTTCAAGCGGCCATGAAAAATTCCCAGGTCGCATCTGGAGCCAGAGAACTCCCAACACCCAGGGGCGCACCGACATGTCCCCCGTCATAAGCAATGAAAGAAACTGGCTTGGAGCACCCCTGGAAGTCCGTTCGAATGGAGCTGCCACTTCCAGACATGGGCTTACCGATGTTTGCTGGCTGGCACTTGTCGTTCTCAACGAACTTATTCGCCAGACTCACACCCCCGTCAAATGGTAGAACTTGGTCATCAATCCCATGAATACCTAAATAAGCAATAGGATCGTGGCCCCCATCACATCCACTAATCACACCGCCACTCAACACGCTAACGGCCTTGAACTCCTTCGCCCGCGAACAAGCAAGCGCATAACTCATCCCACCGCCCCAACTAAAGCCCGTGGCGAAGCGAGAGCTCGGGTCCACACAGAGGTCACCCTCGACTTGCTGGATAATAGCGTCGATGAGGGCCACATCTTCGCCGTTGGCATTGGCCCAGCCAGCGTCCTTGCCGTTGGGAGCAACCAGAATTGCGCTGCCCTGCGCTCGGCTTTCGAGACCATACCATGGTTGAATGCTATCGCCGTTGACGACAGAATACATGTTTCCGCCTCGCCAATGGAGGCCGAAAACGAGGTGATGTGGCTTGTTTGGGTCATAGCCGTCAGGGATCTTTAGGATGTACTCGCGGCCATTGATATTGTGGACTCCATTGGCGAGAGTGGGATCTTTGCCGCAGCCCGAGGACGTGGCGGCGTCGGCCAAGGCTAGGAATCCTAGTCCTAGGAGGGTAGGAAGAAGCATCATTGTCAAATAACAAAGAAAGAATATCACAGACAATGAGATTCTGATCAAGTGAAAGATTTGAGGGTTGTCTCGATATTTGGGATTGATTGTCGGGAGAAGTGAGAGTGAGCTACACGGCCATCTTTATATATGCTCTTAGAGTTGGATGATTAAGCTGCCAACATAATCGGCGAGATTCCCTTCCTCAAGAGGAACGGAGCTCTTGATGGATGATCTTTCTTCGGATAGGAATACTTCTGTTTCCACGATCCGGTGTCTTGCCTAATACAGCGACAACCCTGTCCAGGTCACATCCGGGTAAATACTGTCCAATGACCAGGCATGAATGTCACAGATCGATACCCTTCGGAGTGGGAGAATTGTCAAAGCACGGAAAAGTTAACCGTGTTTCATCAGTTGGGTAAATTGCAAAGAGATGTACTATTCTAGGCGCAGACCACCCCCAGCTTGATGTTGAGAGCAAATAATTGGAGCAGGCGTGGCCAAAAATCATGTCAAACGTTTTGGATAAACAGCCATAGGCCAGCTTCCAAACACACCCGTTTCTATAAGCGTATAGATACGTCCTGATCAGGCTATATTTTGGCACACTCTGTAACAGACTATGTGATCTAAAGTCCAGTTGACTCAGCCAAGACTGTCGATTTCTACTTCGCCAATCATATCGCATCCAGATTCATTAAATAAAGTAATAGATCGGCATGCCAAGCCTTTATCGGTAAATAGGGGCATCGTTCCTGCCGAGATTCATATTTTCTTGGGACCTGAGGAAACTCTCACCGATTACCGTTGTTCTTTTGAAACAGACCTTGTGGAGACCACTTGGATAGCTTTGTCTCCTCTCAACCTATTGCATACTTAGTCAGGAATGACAAGACGCTATGAACGAATCGACTATTATGGATCAGAACAGGGATGCCTCGATGAAGGCTATCTTCTAAGTCTTGGCATGTTTCTTTCTAAAACAAAGAAACCTTGGAATGTCTGACTGAGGTTTGAATAGGATCCAGATATGTCGGAAGCCCCGATAACATGCAATTGCTAGGGGTCAAGATGCGTGTCTCGTGCCAAGTACTCAGAGATCAGAAGACATATAAGAACGACGTATTTCCTTCACTGATAGCTTCAACACAGTCATTGTTAGTCGGCCTCTTCCGCACATTCATATCTCAGTATATTTGCTTTACTTGGGCTGGTCCCTTTTTCGTTCTTTACAAAAGCCAAACAATTCATTCATTCATTTCAAGATGAAGTTCTCCCTTCTCGCTGCCGCGGCCATTGCGCCCATGGTCTCGGCCCATTATTTCTTTGACACCCTCGTCATTGACGGCAAGGAAACTTCCGAGTACGTCCGCTCCAATACGCGTGCCGCCAAGTACAACCCTACCAAATGGGTCAACTCCCGCGACGACATGACCCCTGATGTTCTTGACTTCCGCTGCAACAAGGGTGCCTTCAGCTTCGCTGACACAACTGGTACCGCGGAGGTCAAGGCCGGATCTAAGCTTGCTCTGAAGCTTGCCGTTGGTGCTAGAATGGAGCACCCTGGTCCTGCCCTCGTGTACATGTCCAAGGCTCCCAGCACTGCCAATCAATACCAGGGCGACGGCGAGTGGTTCAAGATCCATCAAGAAAGCGTCTGCGACAAGAACAAGGACTTTACCAAGGATGCCTGGTGTACCTATGGTAAGGATCGTATTGAGTTCACGATTCCTGCGGCCCTACCAGACGGGGAGTATCTGATTCGACCAGAGCACATTGGTATGTCTTCTATATCGTTGTTATAAGTGAGAATATTACTAATTTCCGGAACAGGTGTGCACGGCGCTCACGTTGGGCAAGCCGAGTTCTATAACACGTAAGTGGAGCTTTCTCACGCCTCTCATTATTTTCGAGTGAATACTGATAAATTTTCAGCTGCGCTCAAGTCAAGGTCATCGGTGGTGGCAATGGAACCCCCGGACCTACCGTCAACTTCCCCGGTGCTTACAAGAAGGATGACCCTTCGTTCAATTTCAGTATCTATAATGGCTACAAGGATTACCCTATGCCTGGTCCGGAAGTCTGGGATGGTGGGTCGGACTCTAGCTATGCTTCGAACGTGGCTAGCACCAATGCTACAGTTGCCGCTACCACTTCCGATGAGAAGGATGAGGACACCTGCGATAGCAGCTTCACTCGGTGCGCACGCTCCTGTTTCCAGCTACTAAAGGACTAGGCCTATTTCGGGTCTATCGTGGATTTGTTTGGCAGTTTGAGGGGGCTTGATACTCATTGAGTCTCTCGCCGTTCATGTCAGTCGTTTCCATATGTTATTGGCTCCTACTTCCTGCTTGTCGGGCCTTATTTATCACTCAGGGCTATGCTGAATGAGAATGCTGCGAAGTCCCTAGATAGAGAGAAAATCGCGCCACCCTGTCTCAAGTTTGTCAAGTTCACATAGCCTACATAATTACAGAATGTCTAGTAACTTGAAGATAGCATTTACCTTTTGACAGCATAATTCATGAACTTTAATTTGGAAAACAATCTTGGAAATCGCGAGGCTTCATGCCCCTCTGTCATTTGAAAGTACAAATGACAAAGCTTAAAGGCTCACACTCGTTGCCCATTGTTGATATCTCCAAGTGGTCACATTGTAAATTTCATGCCTTATGGCCTCACCTAACAGCTCGTAAATCCAAACGCTATTACACAGCGTTCGTCTATTTCCAATCCCTGCCCAACTGCATCGTTTGGTATCCAAGTGACGCCAATGAGACTAGTGCTACAGCCTGGATCTTATTTTCTTTTTGTGTTTGATCATATTTACTCTCTACTAGGCGGCGCATCAACATCAATACACTACGCGCAAATTTCTTAGAAATCAACCTACTCTCATCGAAGGAACAGCCGGCGTTCATCCACAAGAAGCCCTATTTGGGCAAAGCAGGAGTGGGACTTTTCCGTGACTTGTCGCGATTATCAACACATCAACGAATGGTTGAAATAGAATGAGGAGTTGCATGTTCATCTCGTTGGTGGAGTTGATATATATTGCTCTCAACCCTAATTCCCAAGATTGGGCTGATCAGGTAATCCGACCAAGGGCAAGATTCTCAGTTATTAGGTTATGAAAGAAGTTGGAATAAGAACACTTTTTATGGGTCTTGGTTTTGTAATATGTACCTGTTCTACACTTTTATATAAGGAAAGCATTCCACATGTCTGACTTTGACAAAGTTCTTCGTTATACCACGATATCTTATTGTCAAAATATTACTCGCGTCCAATTGTTAGAATAATATCAAAAGGCTGTATTGCATCTAGTACACCGGCAGACCTGAGAGGAGTTCGCTCGACGCCTTTCGGTGTATTCTTATCTTCCACGATGGGGCCGTTGTTTCGGTCAAAGAGGGAGCCATTGATACGATGGATAGTAAATTATTTCAGTTTAGTATGTTTATTGAGATCTGTAACACAAAATTACCTTCTTAACCCTGCTTATATACTAATTTTCTGTGATCGATGCCGGCTATCCTATTGCAATATCAAGCAGGCCTTCGGAACACCGTTTAGTTTCCCTATTCTTGTACTGTAATTGGCTGTAATTTGAAAATGCTAGTGGGATCCGGTGGGAAACATTGTAGATTCAACTCATGTGGATGCTGGCTAATGGAACGTGGACCCTTAGGTTCAGATATCGCCTAATAGTATAAATAGTTATACTTGTCCCTAGTAAGTCTGTAACCAGAGCTGTGGAGTTGAAATACTGAAGCCTCAATTACTTCATTCAGAGTTGAGAAGGACCGGTATCCTTTGGAATATAAGCAGATCCCATGACCTGCTCCACATCAGTTGCACAGCGAAGCCATCCCACACGGTCCTTGGTAAATAGCTCAAACCTGGGCTTCAACTTAGTTTCATGCAAGGTGAAATCATCCACTGTTCCGGTACGCAGGATACTATGTCCCGGGAACATTTCACTGATGCGGTACATGAGCGAGCCACATGTAGAACAAAAACAATTTGTCATTGCCTTGCCGGAGGCTATGGTTTTCGACTGGCTAAATGACTTGAGGGATTCTTGGCCACGTAGGTGTTTTAGATCTGAGTCGGCCACAATAAAATTAGTGGCGAACATGGATGCGGTTATTTTTCGGCAATCCACGCAATGGCAGGTGAATGTGTCGATTAGGCCGGGGCCTTGTGTTGGCTGAAGTTTGCCCATGACATTAGCGGGATATATTAAACAGGGTTATATACTAGGGAGCACTTACAAAGGCCAGCTGTACTGCCCCACAGTAGCATGTGGCAGTCGCCTGGCCTTCTTTTGACCAGCCATCATCCGCGCCACCGGCAACAGGTATGTAGGGCTTAAAATTATCTCTTGCAGCAGCCATGATTGAATTTTTCTTCGAGTGAGAGGGTGCTTTGCGTAAATTTAAGAAACTTATGCTTTGTCTTGGTAATTCATTCTGATGGGACATTACGAACCGGCTCCCACTGGACTCCCTCTCTCCCACCGGTGACCCACCGGTATCCCACAGTTTGTACTCCACTTGATTAACTATGAATTTTCTCGTGTTTACGTCACCTAGGCAGTGCGAAGATAAAGGTGATTAGGACTGGAATGAGTGCTCGATATAAAGGTCGAGACTGTTCCAGAGGGTAAGTATATATAGCCGCTTAGTTGTGGACTAATTTCAATCCTTTCCAGCTCGAACAGGCCCAGCTACTATCACATACTACGCCCAAAGAATATATGGTTTCAGATAGATCTGTCGATACTCGCACACATAGAATCATGTGCACAAGCTTCAAACCCCGTGTAGACCTAGCTAGGCATACAGAGTGGCCAAGTTCAATACCAACCTCCAAACGATTGATGCTGTCTGCAGGAGGCTTCTGATCGAGCGACTTCTCAAGAATCTAGTGGACAATTGTCTTGATGGAGCTATGTAAACCGCTTCCGCTCCCATGCGTACCCTGTTCTGTGCGATCTTGGCCTAAAGATATCAACCATCTAAACCATGTGTCCGGCACAAATAGCACGGTAGGCATGGATGAAGTCCGTGTTATGACCTCTTGCTTGAAAAGCTTGCGGAAACTAAACAGTGGCTTCTTGGGGAATCGGAAACGAATCGGTCGCCTATTACTCATTGGCACATGGCGATCGGGAGCGAGGCTACTACTGGGATTACCTAGAATGGCTGGTCGTATAACTACAAATTAGAAAATGGGGCGACAACCTTGGAAGGCAATGTCAACTTAAAATTGAGTTTCCGTAGTCCATACTCTCCAGTGCACCTCTACTCTGTGTGTGGGATACCGCCAACGGGCGGGGGGGGGGGGGGGGGGGGGCATTAGTAATTCTGCGAATTTTTTGAACTGTTATTGATTATTGAGTTGGTAGAATGTATTTATAAGGCAACGGCCAGGTATAAGTATCTGGTAATCCCCCCCTCCCCGATGCTGGGCCTATAGCTCAGTGTGAACTATATCACATACCATGACTCCTTCCATTCTCATCGTCGGCGCCACCGGCAATACCGGCCGAGCTGTCGCTCATACACTGCCAAAGTTGCTTCAATCCAGCAGTACTTTGTCCGGGCACCGCATCATTGTTCTCACTCGCTCCTCGGGCAGTCCGGTGGCACAAGAGCTTGCCAAAGTGACTGGAGTTTCATTGATCGAACAGAACTGGGTTGAGATAACCACCGACTGGCTCCGTGAGCACAAGGTTGCTAGGGCATTTATTGCATCCCACAATGAGCCCAACCAATTTGCCGAAGAATCGACCTTCCATCTCAACGCCCTCAGCGCCGGCGTCAAGTATGTCGTGCGGATCTCAACTACGGCAGCAAATATCCGTCCGGACTGCCCTGCCTATTATGCACGCCAGCACTGGGCCATCGAGACTCTCCTCGGCTCACCCGAGTTCAATGACTTGCAATGGACCTCTCTTCAACCGAACGTTTTCTCACCACTCATTATGTCCCCTGCTGCGGAGTTTATCAAGAAATACCACAGGACTGGAGAGCAGGATACACTTCGGCTGATGTTGTCAGAGGATGGGCCCGTCGGCATTATCGATCCTGACGAGGTTGGTGTTATTGCAGCTCATCTCTTGTCTCAAGATGACACTTCCGCTCATAATAGGGCTAAGTACGTTCTAAATGGACCCGAGGACATCACTGGAAAGAAGATTGTCGGCATGGTTGAGCAGCACATTGGTACGCCCGTCAGAGACGTTATCTACAAAGACGTCTCGTTCGTCGACATGTTGTATGAGTACCAGTATGCGGCAACCAAGCAATCAAAGAACCTCATCTACTCAAACAAGCGGGCTCCAGAGTCAGCGTGGGAAGGGAAATGCTCGACTTCTACAACCAGCAACGAGATCATGGAGCTTGCTGCTCCAAAGCGCACAGCTGCTGGTACCTTGAAGGCTTTACTTGACAGGTAAGGAAACCATATGTCAGAAAATAGTGGTCCCGGGGGGCGAAACAATTTCCTTGTAACTATTGTTGAAATATGAGATCTATCTGACCCGTACGCGAAGAAATCAATAGCTGAAGATATTAGTTCCAGCCAACTTTGACTGATTAGTATGAGACTGCGAGTTTAGTGCACTGCAACTAGGCACTTCGAACTTCTTCGCTTAAAGTTGATTTCTCAAAAGATCTTCTGTGCTTGGGTAATATACGCCCTTGGCTGTTTCATGGACTAGTGGAGACCTAACCCTCTTTTCATCATTTAATGAGATAGCAAAAGCATAAATGCTTTGTTTAGGAGTAACGTAACCTATAAGCGAGTGGCACACTCGCCCAACAACCCTACTAGAAATATGTACTTATCTCAACCACCACCATAATATTTCAATTCACACTATTCTTTCAATTCACACTATTCTTTCAATTCACACTATTCACATACTAATCAGGGCACATATTTTTCGATGTTCTATATAATAAGGAGTTAAGCTTTGTCAACTATCGCGGCGGCAACTATCAGCCGTTATTTCATAGGAGAGCACCCTCCTTGCCTCGATAACGACCAATCAGACCAGTCGCTTTGACACCGTTCATCACGGTGGAACTGCAACACTTGCACCGAGGCTACGGTGTAGGTTGTACGAGATAGTCCGAGAGGTCCCCCAACCGGGTGGCTCTTGGTGGTGTTGTTACAGACATCAAACCCACTTCAACGGTAAATGGGCTCGAACAGTGATATGGCAGATCTCGTCCGAGACGCGATGGATTTGAAAAAGCATTACCGATGCTCAAATGACAGTGGGCTCGGGCCAGAAGTTGGTAGGGGCTGATAAAAAGGGGGTCAGGCAGGAAAAAGAAGAGAAGGGCGTGGAGGAAACTGCAAGAGGACGGGCTGTGGTTTATAGATAGAGGGTAGATTAGGGACGCAGTAAAAACGACTAGAGGTGACACTAAACTCGAACGGGACCGCAGATGAGGATGCTAAACCAGAAGGGGCAAAGGGATAGAGCAGACAGGGCAGGCGGTCGAAGGCAGCAGGATGGCGGTGCAATGGGAGCCCTTTCTGCCCCCCACTTGCTGTCATGTGGAATACTAAACTTCTAGTTACTTAGCTTTAAACCACTTGATAACTAGTTAACTAGTCTGTATTCCAGTATAGGTCTAACTAAAGTACTTATAGAGATCTTTAAAAACCACAATATTACTAATCGCATTCTCGTGAATCGCGATAATATCGGATAATATATTGAATAATACGACCTTAAATAGTATAGACAATTTTTAACGGGCAGTTATACACAATGTGATGACAAAAACGGACCATGCCGTAAGAGGACTAGACTCCGAGAACTGGGTATAACGATTTTCGGGATCTAGTCCTAATTCGACAACTTCCACAACTCTACTCCATGCAGCCCGTACGGCCCCACTCTGAATCTAATCAACTACGTAACCATCTTCATTCTCCGCGGCGTGCGCGGAGGTGTCTGATGTCTGACTACTGATGAATGATGAACTTAAAGAGGATTCTCGACGTATTCTGCCAATGGAATTGTGAGAAAATCCAATCAACCCCAGATTGAACGTCTTTGAAACAGCCTTGTCTGCAGCATCCTCAAGATGTTCGCACAAATTGTTTTCCGGCGTGCAACACTCCCGTCGCTAGCCCAGAAGGCCTATGCCTCAGTGCCACGAAGGGGACTTACAACACAACAAAAGCAGGTTGTCAAGGCTACCATCCCCGCCCTTCAAGAGCATGGAGCCACGATCACCACACTATTTTATAAACGCTTGCTAGAGAAACACCCCGAACTCAAGAATATCTTCAACATCGTTCACCAAAAAACCGGCGAGCAACCCGCAGCTCTGGCACATGCTATATGGGCATATGCGGTTAACATTGACCATCCCGAAGCCCTGAGCACAGCTGTTTCTCGCATCGGACATAAACACGCTAGCTTGGGGGTCATGCCAGCTCACTACCCTATTGTGGGCGAACACTTGATCAGCGCAATCAAAGATGTCCTAGGACCTGCTGCCAACGAGCAAGTGCTAGATGCGTGGAAGGCAGCCTACCAGCAGCTCGCAGATATCTTTATCAACTTCGAGCAGGGTCTCTACGAGCAAGGTTTAAAGACACCCGGCGGATGGAAAGGATGGCGGAAGTTCTACATTTCGAAGAAAGTCCCGGAGAGTGACGAAATTATTTCCTTCTACCTCACTCCGGTTGATAAGGGCGCTCTACCATCGTATCAGCCCGGACAGTTTGTCAGCGTGCGCTGCTACGTGCCCGAATTAGGCTTCTACCAGCCCCGTCAGTACAGCCTATCCGACGTGGCCAACAAAAACTACTTCCGAATTTCTGTCAAGCGAGAGTTCGCAAAGGATTCCAAACCTGGTGGTCAAATCTCAAACGTACTTCATGAGTCGCTACCGGAAGGTGCGGAATTGGACTTAAGCATGCCTTTTGGTGACTTCATTCTCGACATCAACGCCACCAACCCTGTTGTTCTGGTCAGTGGAGGGGTGGGGCTCACGCCCATGATGTCCATGTTGAAAACCATCATCAACCAGCAAGGCCAAGCACGGCAAGTCGTGTTCGTCCATGCGGCACGGAGTGGCCGCGTCCACGCCATGAAGAATGATCTGACCCAGATCGTCGCCGAAAACCCGTCAGTCAGTCGCATGGTGTTTTATGAAGAGACCACTGAGAATGACATGCAAGGGCTGGATTATGATCAAGTAGGCCGGGTGGATTTGGCCAAAATCAAAAACAAGGTTATTCTCCCGGATGCAGATTATTATATCTGTGGGCCTCAGCCGTTCATGAAGGCTCAAAGCTGTAGTCTGGAGGCTTTGGGTGTGCGCCCTGAACGCATTCATATGGAGGTATTTGGATCTCCACGTGATTGATTGGTCGACAGATGGAATCTGATGGCCGATATCTTTGCGGTGTTGTTGTTCCACAAGGATGTTGATGGAACATATACATCTGGTAGCCTTTTCTCCCTACATTTCCATCCCTACATTTCCACAACGCTATATTCTACATGATATTGTTTTCTTTTCACCATCATTGGCTAATTGCAAGGAAAGAAACCCGTGTGGTAGGATAGAGCCTGTGTAGTAGACATCTAGGTGGCATTGGTCTTGTAGTATCGGCCTTAAACTGGTGCGGTTCTAGTTCCAAGGTCTAGAACAGCGCACCAACCCTTCCAGTCCTGCGATTCTGTCGCAATTCGAACCTCGAGGGACCGCTATTTCATAAATTCGCCAATATATTCCTTTTTTAGATTGACAAAGTGATGACTCATTCTAATCATTCATTGTTATTAAACACTATTTCGGATACTACACAGCCAAGTGTTGCGATGAAGCTACAATCCATACGAAATTAATCCAATTTAACTTTCATATCGAATACTCAGCATCAAAAATTCTAGATTCCCCTACAATAAGTCAAGTCCAGGCTCTTTGTGGTTGATTCTGGTCGGAGTAGTTGTTAACGTGCTATTGTGATCCCAAAGGTGGATTACCTATATATATATATACGGCTGCAACTAAGCATAGAATTGACTTGGCTATGACCCCGGTGTATCTCACTATAAACCGCCATAATCGGCACTGACGGCGTTTATAACTTTGAACGAGACCAGCTTCACGATGGGATTAACTGCAAAAGCGTGGGTTATAAAGAGGATTAGTAATACTACGATTAACGATCGGTTTTAGAACCTGAAAACCTTGCGAGAGTGGGTGACGACAATTGAGTGTACGGACGGTTCGGGGACACTCCCTCCGTGCGTGATTTCTTAATAATAATTTATAGATTTAGTATAATATATATCGGTAGGAGTAGCTTACTCAACCATATTACTACTTTAAATATCCATTTTAGGTGACTTTTTATAACCTTGGACCTTGAGCGTTTTGACTCCTGGAATGCTCGCCTAAACGGCCCAAGACCCACCGTGGACGGGCGATGTCGTAGCCTAGAGAGGAAGGAAGAAGCAAGTGGTAAATCCTAGGGGGTCTTATAGCAGAGCTATCCTAGCAAACAAACAAACTCTTTCCTAAATAGAAAGTATACTATTCCCCAAATAGGAATAGTAGAAAACAAAGCAAGCATGTGATCACATAAATTGTAACAAATATCACGGTACCAAAGGTCCATAAAACACACACAAAAGTGCATATATTGATTAGCTATTTGGTCTATTTACATGTTTCATTGGTCAGAGCGTTTCATAGTAATGAATTTGATCCTACTTTTCATATAGTCAGGTTTCTGTCAGTAACACCTAAATGAAAGATCGGAGATCTATCTAGTTTGATAGTGGCGGATTATAACTAGTCTCCGCAAAATCAGACCTAACCAACTACTATTTTTGATTTGATTCGACATTGTTATGTAGTATAAAATTATATTGGAACTTGCTTCAATAGTGTAATCCAGTGGAGCGCACCAAACACAAAGTACGGTTAGTGGTCACTGGGCCCGCCGGTCGAGCTGACTAATCGTCACGCGACAGGACAAATAACGTCATGAACATTTGGCTCGACAATCTTATCTTCAGATGCCATTTCCATCGCAGGCTTGGAAAATCATACCAAAACACAGGATTAATCTCACAGAATGCAGTCAGGAGGACCAGACCCCGAAGTAGGTCCCCCCTTCCTGAAACCAACGACCCTAATAATCCTCTCAGTCATTGTCTAAATCCGAGAACCGTCTCCTCAAAAAGTACGGAAAGCTGCCACGTGGAGGTTTACTGGCTGAAAAGTCTAAGGTACTTAGACACCTTTTTTTTCTTATGACACATGCTAACTAACAACCGACAGGAACGGACATACTTTGACTCTGGCGATTTCGCTCTTTCTGCCGCTGACCGCGAAACTGACAACGGTGCTGTCCAAACAGGCAGAGCCCATCCTAATCGAGAAAGCATTTCTCACCCTTATGCTGCTATCCCGGCCTCTAGTAATGTTAACGAAGATGCCAACCAAGATACGTATAGGAAAAGTGGGAGTCCTGAGAAGAGTCCTCTCCTTCACCAAATAAACACTAAAGATGAACCTACAAACAAGGAAGGACACGACGATCATGTCTCTCGCGAATGTTAAGACCAAACTGTTGCTTTAAAATTAAAAACAAATTGTATGTCATTCAGCAAGACAGCACATGCGGCACAATAGTCAACGAGGCGTGATACGATAGCTTTTCTTTTGTGAAGTTACGGAATATTTTTCAATATTACGATACCCATGTCCTTGAAACAGTGATGCTTTTTGTATGCTACCCTAAAAATGTTATCGTCCCTTGACATTAGGGTTCGAGAAATAACCAAAGAGCGTGGGTAGTGACACCGGATTCCCGAAGACAGGGGTGCACATTGGGAGCAAATTGTAATGGAAACACAACCCACAGTGTATTTCTGCTCAGCAACGCAGCATGACGAAGATCATGTGAGATTGTACCCAAGGGTTTGCATCCGCCTACGGTTTGTGAACCTGTGAGGGGGAATGAACAACATGTCAAAGTAATAATTCTTAGTTTTGAAAGGTTAAAAGACTTTACAACGACCTGTAGCATAATTGGACAGTCAGATGATGATTTATGTGCGATTATTTCCAGGTGGCAGGCTACAGTATATCCTACTCGTGAAACCAGCCGATGGACGATGCTATTGTGAATACTCTTTGACGTTGCCTTGGATGGATAGATTGAAGTCCATTAGCTCTCAGCACTTGCGCGGTGGCTTGCCCGTCGTGCTATGAGTTGTCGTGTTATAAGTGAATGAGGCTTCTATCCTATTTCATCTAGAGATACTTTCAACTCTAGCACATGCAAAATGATAAAACAAACGATGGAAAAGACGAAGTCTGTGGGATTGAAAGTCACAAATGGGTACATTCAGAATTTCTATCTATGCATACAATTTCATCGTAGTGGGGCTCACTGTATCTAACGACGTGAAGCTACAGTGTTCTTCCTGATCGTTGAGGCCCTGAAATCTAACCATCGCCCAAGGCGCTGGTGAGATCGTCTGCCCCCACTTCACCAGACCTAAAGCTGCCGTGTCCAAGTTCTCATCTTTGGGTGGGTGGCACGCAGCACTGATAGCAGCACTAGAAGATGACGCCAGGGGGATCACGGAATCAAATTTTCGGAACGCCAGCGTGAACAGTATAAGCATCATGAGGGCTCCAACCAGAACGGACAAAAGGATCGGTGTGGATGAATAGCTAAGCGAGCTAACCGTAGATAAGTTATTCCGTTCGTCGTGCATGTCATACGGGACCAAGACTAGATAAAAGATGCTCTGCGACACGAGCCAGTGGAGAACCATATAGAGCACCAAAATAGGTGCGTTATATTGATACGGAACGCTTAGCCAGTAAGTCGACCGCTGCTGACTGCCTTTGATAGGCCAGGTGACACGAAGTGGTTTGCGTTTAACTCCGTATGAGCTGTACTCGGCGGCGGCCAAGATGCTTGTTAAGACGCCATTATAGCAGTAATAGCTAATGGTGATGAGCAGTTGTGGGGTGTTGGCAACCACTACCGCGCTTAGCATAGTCCATGAGGCATTATTTTGTAATCCTATAAAACCGTAGCTACTCGTATCGATGTCTGAGCTGAACCATTGTTTGACGTCGCTTGTAAATTGGTCGATCCCGTACATAGTGTAAATCTCAAAGAGACATGTACCCACTATTATGCAAGAGAGACACCTATATATAAAATTGGTAAGTATTAAGTAAATAGCAGTAAGATAGGTCAAGTATCCTCTCGAACACATACATGAAAAGGGTTACTGCCCAACGCCAGCCGCTTGCTGCTCTCATCCAAAATTTCCGCTTTGAGAGACGTTTGTAGGTGATAGCCTCACCTAGGCTATTTGGCGGTGTCATTATAGACCTACCCGTTCTATTGGCAGGTTTCCACTGGCCCTTCTGAATATCGGCGGCAGTGAGCCAACATAAGCCCTCTGTGGTAGGATCAGGATTGGTTAAAAACGATGCTATCGCATCGCCAATTGTCAAAAGAGGTGGCAAGCGACCACGACTTATTCTCGCCGCGAGAAACATTGCCGCTACTTTTGCACCACCGGCTAACATAATGCCCATGGAAATTGCTGGGCTATAGAGCAACTGGCAGTGCTCCGGAGCCTTGATCGTCAGACATCCTGTAATATTATACCCATTCACACCATAGCCCGTACGCCCCATGTTTGAATCCTCATAAGGATTAAACAAGAGGTGATGTTGGACCGTACTCGTATTCTGACAGGCGTTGGTAGAACGTAGGCCGGCACTTTCGTTAAAAAACTGGGTGGCTTGTAGGAAGCTGCCGTGGAACATGTTTATACCGGCTGTGTAGCCGTCATTTCTGATAGCTGTTTGAAGAATGGATGCGTTTCCCCCGTTGCTAATAGTCAGGTTGTCTGCAAGAGCGATGATCCCCTTGATTCTCGACTGGGTCGTTTTGGAAGTCTGGATACATTGTTGAGTAGAAATTCGCCTATAATTCCCGTCTGTGATTTCAGAGGCAAACTCATCCCAGCTCAAATCGTTGGTGGAAGCCATGAAGCATTTTTCTAGCCCCGGGGTCGTAAGGTTCCATATGTTTGATGGATTCAAATCCTTAGGTCCAACCACGGCACCATATTGGGTCGTTGATGAAGATCCAAAGATTATGGAGTTGTACCTATGATTCATCAATTTTAGTTGAGCTATATATCTGTTTGGTCGCACATACATTAGATGGAACGGAGTTGCCGTGATCATTAATATCACCCATAAGGCTAGCCGACCGCTGCCGATCGCGGAGAGGTTCTTAACACTCGCAGTCCCGATATCAAGCCATTTATTTCGAGCATGATGCGCGTCGACCTCCTCCCGGCTCGGGGAGATGAGCGTTTGCATGCAGTAGTTGCTTGCAGCAAGGATACACGTGCTGAGCACGTTGATAATTAAGTGTAGAGCAATATCCCATCGTTTTGACACATCGCAGCTCCCTTCAAAAACCACTGCCGAGTCCGAGAAGCTTCCATTCTCTGGGTGTCTGCTGGCCAGCCCAGCCGCAATAGCGATAAAAACCAGGTTGATAAGAAGTATAAAGGCACCAGCCCTAGCGCAGAGATGCACACCATCAATCCAATCTCTCTTCTGCGTGCGTGATATCGGATCAACGTTCTCCGCCCTCGTTACTGCTGGGGTCTCTCTATTGCCAGCGCATTCTAGGAGGCGATCGTCCTCGTCGACCGGGGTGGATTGCGCGGCTGATGAGTACCTTGCTTGTGGAATTTCCAAAAACGAAGATAACGATGAGGCGGGTGGTTGACCATAGAGACCATGGACTCCGACGAGCTCGGTCTGGTCGGATTGGCGGTCGTCCACGACTCCGTGATAGCGATGCCGAGAAGATAAGGATTGAGTTTGATCCCATAGTCGATCGACCCTGGAGATTCCCATCTTTGAGGCTCAATCTATTTGTTTTAGGGGGGTGGTGATTGGTGACACGGAAAATGCGTTTGGTGGCCGAATACCTAGCAGCATAAGAAATACCCTGAAGGGAACGAATAACGAATAACGAATAACTCGGAGAAATTCACCATTTTCAACGGCGCTGGGTCGGATCGTAAATAAAGACCGCCTCTCGAGCTCGGGTAGGGGTTTGGGGCTGAAAAGATAATATTAGCACAAATAGCGCACATCGTTGCTTGAATTATCAACGATCTTCGCTCGGGTCGAGGGGTTATTAGAATTACGGAGCTTTCCATTGTAACCCCCTGACGGGTGCCATCCTACATATTTTATTCCTCCATGGTACATTCTTAGGTGATCATTACATAGGATTAAATAGTGATTTTGACTTTATCCGCCCATACTATGAACATCCATCCCATATAAACCGGCGAAAAACAAGTGATCGGCGCTCTACTGTGAGCTTTGCACTGCCCTACGGCAGTCGCACAACCCAGCTGATTATCACCCTGATCTCGCCTTCACCCGCAACGAGTCCCAAACTGGAATTGGAAGCCGACCCTCAACCCGCATTGCTCCGCCAATTACCCTCGCCTACCAGCGTCACCTGAGATATAACCATTCTCTAATTGAGCTATACAAAATGGATAATTCATCTGACAATTACTATTTACTGTTGTTTTGTTCACCTTTCTCTTCAGTTATAAAAAAAACTCTTTACAACTGCATATAAATTTACGAAACCATTATATATACGAGGCGTAGGAGAAAGGAAGGCGAAAAGGAAAGTCGGGGCTGTTGGAAGGAGGGGGAGAGCAAGGAACTATATAGAACCACGCGCAAGGACGCATAAAGGGTAAATGGACAAATTAAAATACAAAAGACATGTAGTTACCCGTCCGATATGGTGTAAGTCGAAGTGACGACGCAACCACAATTGTGCGGTGGTTTTCCGGGGTAGAATCGTGGCGTTTCTGTATAGTGTAAGCAACTACCTAGTAGAACAGTATAACTAATCATGGATGAGTTGTTTACCTCTTACCTGCAGGGTCTCTTTCCCTTGGCGGACTCTTTCGATATAGATCATATCGTTAGCACATCATATTCGTTCGACCAATTTAACATCTTATGGTATGACCGCGCAATCGGCTTCATTGGCGACTTTGGTCTGGTGTGTCATGTTGAACAACTCTCGGAGGCCTACAACAACCAAACTTATCGCTACCAATGGAGTGTTTTCCCGGCAATTTATAGTGGGGATTTCCTGCATCTGTTTTGTAATGGAGGAGCGGGCACGGACCAGCTTGATGGGTCTATTATCGTTCCTTACGCAAACATCCTACAGGGCTATGATGCAAATTTTGTGAAATCCGGCAATCCGAACTGGGAAGGGCTCCTGTCACTGACCCAGAACGAAAGATTCTGGGTATTCATAATAGGGGAATTGATACCCAGAAGGGTCCTGCCAATATTGACAGATGCCAGTGGCTCCAAACAGCACACTTGTGGGCGTAAACATGTACACACATTCAATAAAGCAAAAGGATGTTGTAGTTAACGTACCTATCCCTTTTCAGTTGGACCAAATTCCTTCTACCAAATGTATACACAGGATATGTAGCTTCACTCTTGCTCCCATGAACTTTGGCTTCTAGTTATATATGAAGGAATATATTTTTGTGAGTTGTGAAACACACAAAACTTGCCTCGTACAGACAGTAATCAGCTGTCGGCTTTCAAAACAAATGCGAAGAAAATTGAAACGGAGGCTTTATCCACTAGGAACTTCCTGCTTTCATTTCGAAGAAGACAATAAATGATATCATAATGTGCCCCCATAGGGCAAGGGATGTTTCCGTGGCAGAATTATTCTGACATTCTCTGGGTGCTATCGAAATCAGACTGCTCGATGGGTGTCGCTCGTGTGGCCACGTGAGCTTTTCCGATCCGCAAACCCCGTCTTAATCTGGTAAAAGTATCATGCTCAGACAGCAATATCTTCAACTGGATCAAGAAGCCGTTTATGTAGCTTTTTGTAGCCTCCTTCCTGCGACAGAACACGAGCGACTTCATTGATGTCCTGAGATGCTATTTCATACACATCATGATAAAGCACATCCCAGATGTAGAGTTTATCACCAGATTGAAAAATTATTGTGGAGGCATCGTTATTGTCTAATATTGGTCGACCCGGAGTAAGACCATAGCCTCGAGCAATCTTTTGACCCGCTGAATCGACGCCATCCCACTCGTATTCAAAGCTAGGGCTCCCAGGACATGTCGTCCAGTCTGGGGGAACGATGGACTTCCCAAAATGATACTTGTAAGTGACTCGATTTGAGTTAGTAGGATTTCAAAATTTCTTACTGGTGGCACGAGAGGAACTTCAGTGGTAGACATGGCAAGCGAGCGGGCAAGGTGGATTTGGGAGGTGTTGGAGGCTAAGGAAACAAAAGCGGCGTGGCTTGGATTGGTGATTAGAGTTCTCCAAATCAGATCATGCCCGCCTAGAACCCCCGAGAACCAAGACATTATCACCTCCAGCAGCGAGCACAGTCAGACCTCAAATTAAATGGTACTGACTCTCTTGACTGGCGAGAACTGCCTCCCGATCCACTCCCAAGCAACGATTTGGCCACCTGGCATGGTAGTGCAAGGAGGCACCGCGATACGGGCAATACGCCGGTCAACACTAATGTTAACATTATCCCCTTGAAGTGAAGGTGCGATGCCTCGACTGAGGTGGAAATAACATAACCAACGACCGTGAATCCTCGAATTTCCCTCCCAAAACAACCGTACTTACCCATTGCAGCGCTGGAGGAGCAACTCGAACTCCTCATACATTCAAAAGCCTCGACGTTGGCATCCAAGTTCCTTCTCAAGGGGCAGGTTGGAATCAGCTTTCCAGGTTCTAATGAGGACTGTTGGAGAATGGACAGAGACCTGGGTATAGCGACCTGCTCGAGCATGTCCATATACCACGTTCCGGGCTTACTACTAAAAAAAAAAGCAATTTGGCACGCGGGAACGCCCATATTTATCAAGCAAGCTGTGACCTCATTCGGCATGGCCATCAACATGCTCAATACAACAATAAGGTCCCGACCACGGATTGAATTTGAACGAGGGGAGGCTTAGGTGCAACTTGCAATGGTCAGTTTTTGAAGACGATCGCTCTGTGGACCCTATTCAAGAAATCCTTGGCATTGCTCTCTGCTTTCCGCCACCCTCTACTTCGGATTTAGAAGACTGCACGGGGCACCGATATGATGATATTCTGTGCTAGAGCCGGGAGTGAAACGTGGCAGGAGGACAGGTACACAGACCTGCGACGTCGATCAATCTTTGAATCTCAAGATTTGATGAGAATAAATTGGCGATGAGATATATAGGAACTAAGTCCATCCCGAATATCGAGTCAAATCACAGAGTCATCAATTCCATTCTTTGGAATTAGGGTTCAAAATCGTAGGGTACCCTGCACTGCGTTGCTCTCACATTAACACAGTGAAAGTGTCCATGCTGGATCAGTCCCGGCGGCCGCATGATCAATCCCGCAACAGCTCTTGAGCGACCCACTACCAGCTGATTCGTTATCAATTGATGCATAAGAAACTTTTGTACTGCACCGCTGCGATTTTACAGTAGTCCGCTCTAGTGGAGTTTCTGGGATCGCAGATAGGCAACGTGCTCACGCGTCCCGTCCACACCTAGCAGGTCTCGGTTTACTACACAAACCTGCCTCCGATAACTTTTTATGTTCCCTTAGATCAAAGGCTAGAGCTCGGCTTTTGCTCCTAAATTACTGGATCTAAGGGGCTTACCGCCGTTCTTTTTGATTGGTGCTGCTGAGGAAGTTTTCTTCAAAGTATATTTTCTTGATCCCAGGCTGAAAGTCCTCCCTCGTCGTGCTTCCTGCTCTCAGGCAATATTTCACCTCCTGTGGCCTATTTCGCAGCACGAACTTGATCAGTCAGACCCTGCTACTACAGTATGGCCCTAACTCATACATTGTCCTCGCCACCCATAGCTATGATTGGCACCGGCTTAGCATCCATGCTACACCTGCAGGTCTTGATTCTCGGCGTTGCGCATTCACAGCAGGCTTCAATACAGTAGAATATGTCGTGTTTTATATAAACACGTATGCTAAAACGGCCCCCAGGATACTCCAGATCTGACGAATGTTCACTTCGGCTGCGGCAAGCGCACCGGATTCATAGTCTAAACCCAGGGAATTATTCCCGAACCCCATGCTCGGTGTCCATGTCACTGGAGTTCCCACGTTTAAGACATCGGAGCGCGCAGCATCAATCCTCCCCAAGAACTCGATCGTCAACCTGGCAGAAATGCTTGGCGTCTCCTCATCCTCTTCAGGCAAGGTATTCGCGACAATCCACGATCGAATACTAAAACTTGCCGAGGAGTCATCAAACGCCAGTTGCACGGTCGGGTATGTCGCGCCGCTAACGGCGTCAAGGTCACCATAGAGTGGAATGGGAACGACAGCCCACCATCCCTCGGTACGGGAGCAGGTCGACATATTCATTTGCAAAGTACTAATCGGGTTCATATCTAGCTCAGAGCTCCCTGTCACTCGAAAAGGGACCCCATTCCCAGTGCCCTCGGCGACAGTCAGGTTAAAATCTGGCTTCGTGTCTCTACTCGCGGGGTATGAATAACGCCTGTCGCAAATCAGCCAGCTGCCAGAAAAGTGACTGCGCATTAGAAAGAATACTTACGACATCTCAATCGACTCAAATACAAAGGGCATATCCTGAATCTGCATGTTGCCGGAATCCATATAATCTTTAAAGTACTTCGTGAAGTTCGAGTACGAGGTGAACAGCGAAACATCGATTGGATTTGTGTTCTTCGGTCGATCATCTTCCGGTTCTGTCTCTGTGATCGCTAGGATTGCTGGGTATGACCACGTGTACGTAATGTTCGCCAACTGCCCGCAGAGTTCCAACTCGGAATCGCTGTGGTCATCTCGAGGCTCGACGTCGGAGATGGTGAATACAGCGCTGCCGTTGTAGTATCTATAGACAGACCTTTAGTATGTAGTCTGTGTTATCTGTGGACACGGGGTTGAGCGCACGAGCCAATCCATGGATAATAGTAATAATCCAAACCCGTCACGTTCCGCGGCCGGTAGTTCTCAGCTGGGTCGTAATTAATATCTATTTTGCCTAGAGCCTGCACCGCGAGGAACAGCGGTAGCTGTAATAACGTGGCGGTATGGCGCATTGCGATTGTCGCTCAAGCTGTCGCGAACTAAATAGACTGGGGATTGTCACTTGTTGCAGACGCGAAATGGAAATCTAAGAGCTGGAGTCCACATCGCGGGGGCCCACGCTCCTTTTTTTAATTTTTCGGGCTGCTCTGCTGAATACGAGATCTAGCCTAGTTTGATTCGCTAGGAGTGCTAGGACCCTTAGTATCTGGGAGACGGTGGCTTAGCTTTCTTGGCTGTCTCTTGCAGAATTGGAATGGATCCGATGGGTAACTCTGCACCAGTATGACTGGTGAAAATATGCGCATTCATTATTCTTGCTTTCTGGTCGTTTAGTTGACTTCAGGTACATGGGATAAAGTTTGGGTGGATGCTGAAGCTTTCATAGATCTAATTAGGACTAGTGGAATATTTCCAACTGGGTTTAGCGCATGATTGTCGCTGCATATCTATTATAAGCCCGGCGGCTTTATCATAGGCGATAATTCATTGCCAAATTTACAACATAGACTTTCACTGCGAATTAATTATCATTATTTTGACTCACAGTGGTGAAGTATCGTATACTCCCCCTCTACCTAGATCTTAATCAAGCTTGCTCCTCCCTTTTAAGCCTACCGCAATCGAAATGCGCCCCCTAAAGGCACTAAACCCGATCAAAGTGCATCATTGACTAGTGATTTTGTCTATTTATATTCGCGCGTTTATCCTGTTTTGTTGCTAGAGAGGGTTCCAATATACTGAGTTTTTACCATACAATTTGATCCAGACCGATTTCTGTCAACGGCTAATAAAGTTTTAACTAGTTAACTATCGACGAAGAGCGGTTAACTAACTAGCTGACTAAACCGGGGAAGGGAGGGAATTGATAACTAACTAGTTATCAATTCCCGGGAAGGGAGCGTCGATTACATAACATAAATTACAGAACATGTAACTAACTAACGTATTTCACATGCGAGTGGTCCACACAAGCAAGTGGTCCACACCAAAACACATAGTAAATGTGACGGGACGTAGCCAGTCTTGATTCAAACTAACTAAGCCGTTTGCAGTTATCTAAAAGCTTAAGGAAAGAAGTAGGAGCTGACGGGGTCGAACGTAAATAAAGGGGGATGGGCGGAAGGTCACGTGCGCGCACGTGATATCAACTGGGCACTGGCCCGTTACAGTAAAAGCGATATAGTTGTCACTTATATTTCAACAACTAACGTTTTTATCTAGCTTCATAACTTGCCGATAATGATTGATAAGCATTTTTAATATAATATATCAATCTTAAACGAATCGAATACTTCCATTGTTGTGGTATTAAAAATTACGCCGCTAGATTCTACAAATATATATATATCAATTACCAGCCTATTAAAATTCCCTCAAAATATATAAAGTAGCTAGATATCATATAAGCAGCATTAGGCTGCAAGAACCAGTTTATATACAAGATCGTTGTTGCACTAACATGTTGTAATTTACCGCTTTTACTATGTGTTTTGGCGTGGATCACTCGCTTGTGTGGACCACTCGCATGTGAAATACGTTAGTTAACTAGTTAGGATTATAAATCCTCCGGTATGCCGGCTTCATTACGCCGACAAGTAATCGCTGCGTAAGCCCCACTAACAACTTGGTGGGGCCAGGCACCGAGAGTATGCAAACCCTGCAAACTGCTCAAGAGTACAGAGGTGCCCGAGCTCACTTCCAGGGTGTATATCTTAGCTACGTCTGTCTCAGTCGCCCAGCTTATCCAGTGATTACCCATGACTACTCGACGGAGCGTTTCGGTGCCTGGGCTTCCGGAACATCAAGTGGCATCCCGGCGCCATAAGCGGGTCCAGGTGGCTAGGGCATGCGATGAATGCCGACTCCGACGCAGGAAGTGTGATAACAAAGTCCCTTGTTCAAACTGTACAACAATAGACCGAATATGCAGCAACAGTGGAGCGCCCAAAGCATCTACGCTCACGCAAGCCTCTGAGGAGATTAAGTGGCTGAAGCAGAGAGTCCAGCAGCTAGAAGCGGAACTGGAGCAGCGGTCCCATGAGAGCAATAATCTCCCCACACCAACAGGATCTTCATCATCGCCACCTCATGTCTTTTCATCGAGGAACTCTGAAATTTCTGACTCGAGTGATTTGAAAAAATACTGGGGCGGCATACAACTTCGCCCTGCACGATCATCCAATGATACATGGCTTGGCCCGTCATCACTACATTCTTTCATCCAGCGCCTCAGTGTGTATTTGAGTTTCAATCTTCAACAGAAACATTCTCCCAACACTCTTTTGCCCATCTCAGCAAGCGACAACAAATTGCTGGACAGACCAGAAGGCCCCGACATAGACCCAGTACGTCGGCTAGTCTCAACGGGGAAGCTTTCTAATGCCGGTGTCTATTTAAGCCCGATACAAGAGGAGTATTTTATCAACTTCTTCTGGCAGACATATCACACCTCATTATTCCCAATATTAGATGAAACCCAGTTCAAGAATCATTACCAGTCTCTATGGGTGTCTGGTGGCAAGGAGCGAAAACCATCAGCCCTCGTCGATATCATCATTGCTATGTGTATGCAATATGGTATTTCAGCTCTGCCCTCAGACACCCAAGGTTTCCTTGTAGAAGGAAAGGATGCTTTGGTTGCTGGTCGATGGCACTTTTGGCGTGGGCAGACGCTGCTCACATACGAGCTCGAAAGTCCTTACCTTTCAACACTGCAATGCCATTTACTCTGCGCAGTCTATCTGTGCGGCGGGTCTTTCCACAATATGTTAGACAATTCAATCGGTCAAGCTGTGCGCACCGCTTACGCTTTAGGACTCCATCTGGACCCCTCGCCGAGCATGCCTGAGCAAGACCGCGAAATGCGGAGACGCTTATGGTGGGCGGTCTATCTTATGGATAGCAAAGTCGGAATGAAGCTCGGTCGTCCTTTCTTGCTACGTGATTCTCATGTCATGCCTTGTCTACCTAGTGACAGCTTAGAGGCTGCAAGAATGTCGGGATCCGCTTTTGCACCTATTGGCAACAATTCCACCTGGCTGAGCTATGACCTCCACCAGACGGAGCTATACATCAAAGTACGAGCTGCCTACACGAGTTTCTATGATCGGGAACTTCACTTGCAGAATGGCCAGACGATATGGGATGATCGTCATGCCCTCGAAGCCAGCGCGGAGGTTCTGTTTCCACATATCCAGATCCTGAAAGAATGGAGTAACACCGTACCAGAATCTCTAAAGTTGAAGCGTCAAAATAACGGCAGGCCTCTTTCGACGGATGGCACACGCTTGTTAATCGAGCAGTTCGCTCCACTCTGGCTCCAGCGGCAGCGCGTTCTTCTCGAACACTCATACCACCATCTCAGCATCAATCTATACCGACCACTGATCTCCTTATCTTCATCTTCCAAGCCGTCACCAGGATCTCGAGCGGAGGAGGTAGCTATGCGATCTGCTTCCCATGCTATCATGCTATCGAAGATTACGCAACAGGTCCTTGTAGAAACTTCCATTCTCGATGGGTGGCATGAGGCCTTCCACTGCCAATGGAATGCAGCTATGACATTGATTGGCTTTGTCATGGTGTATTCGGATGCACTATTGGCCACCGAAGCCAGGAATGCAATCGACCTTGCAGTCGATGTGTTTGATAACTTCGGTGCCAAGTTCTCTGTTGCGGCTAATGCGGCCAAAATTATGCGAGATCTATGCGCCAAGGTTGACTTCCTGGCAAAGCATAACCAGTCCCAGCATGATCCTTTAAATGGCGTCCCAACTATCTCTATGGATGATTCTATGAGTATACCGCAAGGTCTCTCATTCGACGCCTCCTCAAGCTCATCACTAAGAGACTGGAGCTCGTACACAAATGTTCTTGCGCCAGATTTGAGTTTGTTTGACATGGCGGTTGATGTGGATTTCTGGAACAATCTGGATGCGCTCTGGCCAGAAGCTGATAATTTGTTTCAATTCCAATCGGAGATCTGAGAATCCGACCTTTTAATCCTTGTACAAATCATGAATATGAAAGTTCCAAGGTTGAAACCATCGATGGTCCGGAGTTGCGGAGTCTCAAGATTGGTGACCACGTAGCTCTGGGGGCAGGATGTGGAGCTCTACTAAACTTGGATTGAATGCATGCACTAACTGGCTTTCCATTAATTATTCAGCCTTGAAACAGCCACTCATCACGGATTGACGGAGTCGCGGAGTGCTGAGGGCGGAGTTGCGGAGTTGCGGAGTTCATGTGCACGGACCGGGCGACACTATACAAATCCCCAACGCGACAAGTCGACAGATATAAATACCAGATGATCTGCCAGTTCCAGAATTATCATCATCAGCATCAATCCAAAGCAATTCAAATCAATTCAAGTTTAATCCCAACTCAAATCCCAACCACCTTCAAAATGAGTCCCGCTCGCAAAGCCCTCATCGCTGTCACCTCGGCCAAAGCCACTCTGAACAAAGAAACAACAGGTCTCTTCATCACCGAAGCCCTACACCCTTACAATGTTCTCGTAGCTGCCGGCTTTGAAGTCGACCTCGCCTCCGAGACAGGCACCTACACCGCCGACTGGCTCTCCCAAACATCCGACTTCCTCAACGGCGACGACCTGATAACCTGGAACGACGTCAACAGCGACTTCCGCAAGAAACTGGACAATATGCCCAAAGCCGCCGACCTGGATGCATCGCAGTATGGCGTTTTCTATGCCTCTGCTGGCCACGCCGCTCTGATCGATTACCCGACTGCGACTTCGCTGCAGAAGGTCGCTGAGCAGGTCTGGGCCAGTGGTGGTGTTGTTGCTTCTGTTTGTCATGGTCCGGCTATCTTTGCCAATATCCTTGATCGTGCGACTGGAAAGCCTGTTATTCAGGGTCGTCGTCTTACTGGGTTTACTACCGAGGCTGAGAACACTATGGGTATTATTGGTGATTTAAAGAGTTGGAATGTTGAGCTTTGTGAGGAGCTTGCTGCTCGTCTTGGCGCTAAGTGTGAGTTTTCTCTTTCCATTGGAGAATCTTTGAGTGTTTACTGACTTTTTTTAATAGATGAGCGCTCTGTTGGTATTTGGGATGACTTCCATGTCGTTGATGGTCGTCTTGTTACTGGTCAGAACCCTGCTAGTGCGACTTCTACCGCTAATGCTACTGTTGAGGTCTTTGAGAAGCTTTAGATAGTGACTGATATGTTTTAAAATCTTATGGAGATGTTGTTTATGCCATAAATGTTATTCACGTTGCTTGACGCACCAGAAATCTTCATTTTTTTTATCCATGTCCGCAGATAAATACTTCTTCTGAATACTAATAGATTAAAATAGTAATATACTTAACTAATTGAATAGGGAAAGTCCTATAAATAGTAGCAGTTAATATCCTATCTATACGAGTACCCTGGAGTATAGAGCGGCATTGACACAGACTGTAGCGGTTACGTTGGCCATTGAGACAATATAAGTCAGAGACGTGGGTTAAATATGGAATAGCGTGCAATCATGTGGCACGTGTTAATCACTATGTTGACTCATGGCATTGGCCGAAGACATTTCGTCTACCGCTTAAACCCTTTTTCAACATGCGTTTCGAAGAACGGGGTATTTATATGACGCTCTAAGGGCATGAGCTCGAGAATAACAAGGAGTGTGTTATAGTCCTACACCCGATACTTAGGCCAGAGAAAGTTGGACTTGGTGTTGTCAGGTCCTGATGTAAACGACTTTTGACTATCCGAGCATCTCGAATTTTCTTGCGTTGTATAAAGCTCGAAATCATCCAGACTGAATTCAGCTCGGTATTTTGGAGACCCGCTGTTTTCTACCGCGAAGATAGACGGTGAAATGTTAAAGCAAGTAGTTGCAATCTCGTCGTCCTTTTGGTTCTCGGGCAAACTCCCTCCAGCAGTGATCGACCATGATAAAATTTGTCAGTTAAGGGGATCCTTTTGGGAATAACGGTCCCAAAGTAACATGATCATCTAGCAACCCCAAGTGCTGGGAAGGGCTGTGAGTTTCTGAAACAATGTTTCAGAAACGGAAAGGTTCATATCAATGGCTAAGGCTGGAAGGGGAATGAGCAGGGATGAAATCAAGTCTTTGGGCCCGGAACTTGTAGCTTTAGATAAAAGGTTCCAAGATATTGTGGCCAAGTGTGCACCAACATAAGCGTTGTGGGTAGACAGAGAAACATAGGTAACTATAATGAGTTGACGGGGTACGTGTGGCGGGTCACGACAAACTATTGCAACCTATACATTAGAGGAAGTAATGTAATTGAGATAACTAAACTACTAGTTAGTTAGTTATATACGATTTAGTTCCCCCTTAGGTTTAAGAGCGACACCGAGCACTTTCATGACAGACTGAGCCGCTTCAAGTCAGTGCATAAATTATGAATCTATATCCTCTTAATCGCCTACGTGGCTATATTTTTTCAGGGATTTTCTGACATAGGTTTGGAAATTGACTAACCGGTTACCACTGTCAGCCTGAAGGAAAATATGAAAATCTGCACTGTCGGAGGACCTCGAGGTGAAAGAACCGTATGCATAGAACGAAAGCGTTAAGTTTGTTTAGACCAGTCTGTTCCCGATAGGAGTGGGAATGACGTCCTGCTCAACGTCGTCTGATTGCACTAAGGAACACTGACTCTGAGTAAATGACAGAATAGAGCGAGATCATTATAAATACTCGCATTGTCCTGATAGTCGAGACGCAGTTCTTCACACTTATTCTTACTTTCATGCTTTTTGCTGCTGCTACTGCAGCTCTCCCGACTCATCATGCTTTGCCGAATGGTATAACTACACAACAAGATGACAACTGTTCCAAAGTAAAATCGGACTTTAGGTGGATTCAGCCAACATCAAGTTTACAAAGGCCGTCAATGCCAATATGAGCGGTTTAAGCTACTTGGATCATAAGCTAAATACAGAGCTAATAATGTAAAATGGTTGGAATAGCAAGCTGCTGGTTGTTATCCCTACTATCCGCTAAGTCCCTTATCCTAGAGCGCAGTATTGATACTTGACCTTCGCATAGGAAAAGACAGAACATAGAGGTATGCCCAGCATCACGCGCCTTAACTGGATGACGCACCGCTAGGGCTAGATGTCTTAATAATACGTGATCGCACACATGTATATAGTCTTCGCGCGCTAGGTCTAAGGAGGGACGAGTCATTACAAGAGCGTAAACGTACCTAGGAGAAACCCTGATTGACGTTGTCACTGCTGGCTAGGTCTATAGAAAATTATGGTTATGTAAATATGCACACAAACATCAAAAATAAAAACATACAACAGTGAGGATTCGCTGGTGGTCACCCACCCAACTACTAACTCACCGGCGTGTGGCTTAAGTACGGCTGAGCGGACGGGAAGCCCTGTTTTCCACACCCTATGGTCGTATGTGGTCAAGGTTTCATTGATTGGAATAACATAGGGAAAGTTCAATGTTATATGTAAGACGTCAGGCCATCTTGAATACGCGCAGAGAAAAGCCAAATCTTGCGATTCAATGGGAACAGCTAGGCTTCTTCAAAACCCAATTTCGGTCCAACTTCTATAACCTAACCCGACCCAAGACCCAATACTGGGTACCCATTGGGGCCCCAGGAAAACCCCAATTTTGCATATAATAGAGGTCTTGGCGTTCATAATCCTGCGAAGTCATCCACATAAATTATTATTTTTTACACTTAACTATCATGTAACTAACTAGCTAACTAGCGTTAACTAGTTGGTGGGCGGGCGATTTTAGCGCCCGTGTCAAAACATATAAGATTGATGGAATTTTGGTAGTCTATTCTATATATAAACCCATGGAGAGCTTCTATCATGGGTGTAAGCAAAAGCACAACATAAAAGGTTGTGTCTTTGTTTTCAACCTTTTTTTCTTCAATTATATTCTCCTTTTTCAAGACCAGGATTAAAAGAATAGCCATTCTTGATAAAATTTGTTTATTTAAGATTCGGACTTAGAAATTTGGACCAATTTTGGGAAACCGACAGAAGATGAAATGCAAGAGGCTGAAACCTCTTTTCGAAGGTTCTTCTGTTCCAAGTTTTATTCTGATCCACAAGTATTTATTGAAATGGGGGTGGCACGATGGCAGTCTGGTGTAGCAGACGTGTCGACACCAATGGAGAGAACAAGTAACCAACCACTCCCATGCTGGGTACGAGGATGGAGCATAACCTACGTGAGCGAATTTTGATCTAATGGCCTCTATATATACTCCTCGCCGACCTAGCTTAGATCCCCCTTCCAAACGGCATATATCAGCTTAAAAATATCACCCTTAAGATTATTTGAGGTTTCTTTAAGTGGTGTTAAGATGAGCATAACATAAGCTACAGGTCCAGCTTCATGACAATTGTGCGGTTTTTTGGAATGTACTGGATGGATGGAAGGGGCGTTTGCCTCCCTTATAAAGTTGAAAGGATATCAGTTCGGTATAATCTTGCGTCTAATCACCAGTCTTAATTTTACTAACGTCAAAAGCTAGCATAATCAATGGCCATAGAATACGACCTTGATAAGACCGCCAAAGAACAGCCACCGTTTAGTATCAAAGAGGTATTCGTTATCACGCATCATTTAGTGGCCGCTTGCGATATGTCATTCCCCACAGTCCGGGTTCTTTTTCAGTTAAGCACTCTGCGGAAAATGATGGTTTCAACTTCAGCCCGAGTCGTAGATCCAAGTTTCCATCAATCAAAAACTGACGCAGAGCAAGGTCGGAATGGATAACACCACGGCTATGGATAAAAACAATAGCTTCCAAGATCTGCTTGTACCATTTGGATCGAAGCTCGGGAGGAATTGAGTTCCTGTCCAGATATTTCACAGGGTCACCACGAGGATAGTATTTGATCTCGATATAGTCGGATATGCCCTGTGATAGGCATTCGGCAATCCGTGGATGATTTCCAAGAACGCCATGAATCAGAGCGTCGCGTAGTGTGGGTTGCAGATCTTCTTCACTCTCACTACGGGGAACTTTCCGTACGATGTGATTGTCCAAAAAGTATACTTCGGCGAAAATTCCAATTATCAAGAGGCGGAGGGAGGTGGAGGTAAGGTAGGAGCTGTTAGTCGTGCCTGCCCATTGTAGTAGTAATTGGGAACAAGTCGAACTTCGGACGTCATGTTTGCCGAGACTGCGGCATCATCGCTCAAACAATTCGCCGTGCTCTCTTCTTTTCTCTTCCAAGATGCCGGTAATGTTACTTGAGAAAACTCAGGTCAATTGCTGTTTGGATGTAGCTAATATGATACATAAGCCCCCCGCGAACGCCGACCCCCGCACCGAGGATGACCCCCCGCCCCCGCCTGCCAACTGGCTCACCATCGTTGAGCGTCTGGTCGAGCGGTGGGGCTGGGTCCATACCATTGCCCTCCTCGCCGTCGTCCTCGTCTTCTCTTGGGTCTGGCGGCTGTCGCATGGCCAGATTGATCTCTTGCAAAATCGCCAAGAGCGGTAAGATAAACTACACTTCTAGACTACTATATATACAATACAATTTATACATTATGTCATTACAAAGCCTCATGTGTTGCTCCATGCTTGGGTTACAGTATATGCTGACTCACACTATAGCGCCGCCGATGCTGAGGCCGGGATTGAGCTTCAGGATGCTGAGCCTGCTCGCCCTCCTGGTGCCCGTGGCCGTCGCCCCCTTGGCCGTCGCCCCCTCGCCGGCCCCGCTGGGTTTTCTGGCCCAGCTAGCAATACCCGGGCCAGGACCAGGGCCGCCGCTGCCGCCGCTCCCGCCGCCCAGACCTAGTTGTAAGTCATAATCGTAGACTTCCCGTAGACTATTTCATTGAAATCCTCGAGAAGAGTAGGTATTTGCCTCGAGATTCTTATATTCCCATCCTTTGTACTGCCGAGGCAGAGAATCTTTCAGTTTCGCCGCTTTTTATGCCTTCTTGATGATCTCGGAATGATTCTCGAACACTGCTGACATGATTTATATCAACTTTAGGAGCTTCACCGGGCTAGAGGGCTCTCCTTTTTTTTCTTTCTTTTTTTTTTTTCCAAAAACTGGATCTCGGCCCCAACCCCAAGTTTTGTGTATATATTGATGTATATCTTATTATTTGTTTTTCTTGTTTGTTTTTCTTGTTTTCATTCAAGCCTCGGAAGTGAACCTGTACATTTATATTTGTTTTATATTCATTAATTAATATTGACGTTGCAACTTTGCCGTCAACCTGGGGCCATTTTCTTCCCGTAAATTGGTAGCCAGTATCTCTGAACTCGGGGTAGATCTGATGGAGGGAGAAGGTAGACTCCGGGACTCGGAGATGCATGAAAATGTGTAGCAGGTAGTGAATAGATGGTAGTGAAGAAGAAGATAAAGCGAAATTATCAAGACAGAAAGAGCATGGGATCATGAATGCTCGAGGGATGTCAGCTTGATTAGCCTCGGTTTTGTTGGCGGTGGAACCCGAGGCTATACTAAGATCTACAGCGCCAGCGGCAACTGGCTCAGTAGTGCTAGTAGTAAATAATTGTAAGCAAATGTCATTTGATCTAGAGAACCGCTGTCTCAACACACATCTCTTCGGAATATCCATTCGGTTTTCAAATCTTCCCTGGTACGCCGAATACGCTTGCTAGTAACTGGCTACTAAGGTTCCTAACCTCAGGTCCTTTTCATAGTAATCCAGGGCTACCTTGGGTACTGCTAGGCTCTATTTTTGATTTATATAAGAGGTCACGTGCAAGTCTACCGGTATAACCAGCCGCCGGGACGGTCAGCGTCAATTGCAGATACACTGAATCGGCTGCTGCCACGGGAGCGCCACATAAAACCCGAGAGAATGTGCAACCCCACAGACCTAGTAAAATCCCCGGGTAGAAGTCTCTTATCATTGGACATGACTCCCAGCAGGTTTGCTTGTGGGGGTTTCCTTTGACCAATATCAGACCCTATAGTTAATGTACATGAAACGAGGGCAAACCATAGCAGTCGTAGGGTAGTACTTTTTTTTTTTAATTGTTCGTTTTTATTTTCTTTCAAATTTCACTTCCCTTATTTGAAAGTCCCATAGCAGCAACATTTTGAAATTGAATCTCATTCTGGATGATCTAGCTATCATCCACACTCAAACCCCAAATAGAGACAAGACAAATTCGGCGCTGATAAGGATTGACCTGATGATCCATAGTATCCATCTGATTATCAAATGAGAAGCGATCAACAAGATATTCTTCCCTTTCCTCACTTAGTTCAAAGCCACGCGATCTTACACAACATCCGCATTCTAGAGTGCAGTGTCCCACACCAAGCGCCCCGGCTGAACTATTTGCACGTTGAGCATCAAGACAACATCCACAATCACGACCACAACACCCGCCTCTAGACTTGCAGTCTTCAACAAGAATTGGATGCATATACCACAAAGGATTGGATCTCCATAACTCAAATGCCCGTTGTAAGGGCCCGGAATTACCAATGATCCAACCACGGGTATACCACCAGGCTCGTGTCTGCATCCAATTCTCTTGGTAGAGTGTGCTCATCTCGTCCTTAAAGCTTGGAACGCTAGTACCCCAGAAACTCGGATTATTCTTCACATTATGCCGTAAAATAATCTCCGCTTGACAATTCCTTCGCAGCTCCTCTTCGTAGTGGAGTAGGTCGGCAAAGGCGTCACACTCATTGACCTTTAACTCTTTTTGGTAGAGATTGTATCGAAACACTTGGAGATCCCTGATGCATCCTTCTCGCTCTAGACGAGCCTCTTCTGGTGTTTTGTCCCCCGGTAAAGATAGCATCTTGGGGTCCGATAGCTCGTCACCCTTTTCAGAGCTGGAAAGGGTATGCGTACAATCACAACAGGCCATGGCAGCGCGAGGACGTCCGGCGGTTCGAATTAGAAAGATTTGAATTTTCAAGAGACTTGAATTCTCGCCGACAAGCGTAAATAATCTGTAAGATTCCAAAAATAAGCGAATTGGCGAGTCGTCTTTAACGGAAACCCACAGCCAGCTTAACGTACGCCTCATTATGACGCCACGCAATTATTGAGAACTCTATTTGAACAGTACGGCGATATGGGTTTCAAACGTTCCCTAGTACCTAGTCGAGTATCCTAATGCTAGGCTTGCTTTACAGCATGAGTACCTTGAAACAAGTTCGCTAGTCTATATCCGCTCTGGAAGTATAGTATAAAATTGCTTTTGGAATCAATATAACATGATATGCATGTTAGAATCTATGAAGTAGATGAGATCATGAAAGCACAATATGTGTATTGTAGAAAGTGTTAAACTATTGACTGGGGAGGAATATGATAGAGAAGAGACTATGGAAGGCAGAGAGATCATGTGACTAATGGGAGATATTAACACCCCCCACGATCATAGGCACCATGATAGAAATAACCCCCCATACACCCAGATTCCTCCCCGAAAACGAAGTGATAAAACACTTCTAGCAAGCGAGAAATTGCTTGCTAAAGAGACTGCAACACGATTATAAATCAGGTGTTGTTGTTGATAGGGCGTAAGCCGAGTTAATCAACGAAGCGACGAAAGGCAGTTGCTGCTAATGGTTTCGTAAAACCATCTGCGGCCTGTAGTTATGTAGGAACGTAGTCGAAAGTGACGTTGCCAGCAGCCACCTCTTATCTAAGAAAGTGATATCGCACAGCAATATGCTTAGTGCGAGCATGATACTCTGGATTTTTCGTAAGAGCAATTGCGCCAGTGTTATTAGCTTGAATGATAACTGGTTTTTGGAGTAAACCATATTGTGGATCATGCATTTTTAACCCCGTAAGGAGAAGAATCAGCCAGCGGGCTTCCTGTACTGCTAGGGCCTAAGCAATATACTCAGATTCCGTTGATGAAAGTGTAACATAGGCCTGCTTTTTAGAGGCCTAAGAAATAGGACCACTAGTAAGGTGAAACATAAATCCGGAAGTTAAAATGCCATTGATAGAGTGAGGTCTAACGTGATCAGCATCATAATAGCTAGACTTCGGCAGAACCCATTTTGGGTCGGAACCTCTGACCCAAAACCCAATGGGTTAAACCCAATAACCCAATAATAACCCATTTGAACCCATTTGAACCCATTTTTGCATAAAAGATAGGTCTTGGCGTTCATAACAATGCTAAGTCATTCAAATAAATTACTGTTTTTTACAGCTGTTCTGGTTTGTTCATCAAATATTGCTACATTATCACAATATTAAGTTAGAAAATTTATGTAATTACCCTGAATTTGAAGCTAATAGGCTTTGTATTATATTGATTACTGATAAAAATTCACATTAATCATAGTATAGTGGTGTTCTATTAATTTAAGCATTTGTTGACTGTGGACTATTGAAAATATATATTTATGGTAGAGGGGAGTATGTATATATTACAGGATAACTATGAATGTAAATAGAAATATCTTATTCTTATTTGATTTTATATACAATTAATATTATATTAAAGCTATATTTCTCTTCTCTATAGCTCTCTCGTGCAGACACCGAGCCAGGCAGTCTAACTGACACAATGCCCACCTAAACCTGAAAAAGGCGCCAGTAAGCTATCAGGACAAAGCCGTACACTGTTGAAAGGTGGAAGCTACCAGGTTATATTTTAAAGCGATCTAGTGAGCTACCCCTCCATCTGGTCCAAGATCTCCCTCAGATAGCTGGTACAATTCCTTTCCCAATTCCCCATCGACGCGATACTTTTCGCCCACAGTGGAAAACTCGTAAGGCTCAGTAGGGACAGTATAATGCTGCATAATAATGTCGTACATCTGCCAAACGTCCGGGTCGACACGAGCCTCTCGGACAATATTTCGTTTCCCATCTAGATAGAGCAGCCGAAGTTGCTTGGTTTGGAAGGCTTCCTCATCCGCGATGAGAAGATAGACCTCGGTAACGACCCTATGCAGACTACTGGCCCAATCCAGAATAATCTCATCCCGGCTTTCCCTTTCTTTCCAGTCATCTGGACAATTCTGCTTCACGGTAGAGATATGCTTCTTAAAGTTATTTCGAAACAACTCTAGATGATCGTGAGGTATATATCGTAGCTGTCTTGAGTTCGTTGGGCCAGCAACCTCGGGTAGAATCTCAAATATTTGCCTCCAGTCATCGCCGAAATTAAAGAGTTTCTCGTCGTTAAGGCATGCCCAGTCTGAGGCTTCTTTAAACGTCTCTTCATCTATCCATGCTTTCAGTGTCTCCTCGTCTTCTAGGTTAGAGCTGTAGTGGGTTCGAAGAAGGATAGGTATTCCATCGCCGCTATGTATCCACTCGGCCTTTTTACGGAGGGCATCGGGTCTCCAAGGCTGAAGGATTATTTCAATTTCTTCGGCGGTTAGCTGTCGAGAGGGCGAGGTCGCATGTAAATCCATAAACCATTCATACGGGATCTCGTCTAAGTCAAGGAAGCCGTAAATAAGTCGAAGACGTTGCTCAGAGGGAGACTCTGGCGAGGCTGAATCCCAGTTTCTCTGTTTCAACGTGTTAGCGAGTTCCAAGGTTGAGGCTCTGAGACATACGATCAAATATTGTTCAACGGCTAGTCCGCCCCATGGAATGTGTTCCCTCCTCATGATGGAAAGAGAGAGAAAAAATAGGAAGAAACACAAGGGAAAAGTATCTCGGGTTTATTGAGGTAGTGGCGGTGGGGCTTTAGTGAGGGGGCCAAATTGGCTTAGCTTGGCTTGGCTTAGAGAAAGAAAGAGAGAATATGAAACAAGCTATTTCACTAGTAACAAAGTAAAAAGGATATGCTTGAAAGCTCCATCTATAGCAATTATTTACCATGTATAAGGGAAAGGAGCAAAGCCAATTTTATATACAAGCAAGCCGACTACGAGAATGTTCAATAACGGCTCACATATATTTGCTACAAAATATTTAACACCCCACAGTTATCTATAACGCCAAAATTCAATCGACAAATTCCACGCCTAGGTAGGTGAGCCACGGCGTTTAAAATATTGGGGTATATTGACTTACGTTCAACTTCCCAGCCATTCCAACTTTAGCTATCTCTCTTGGTATTGGTCGAGTCCGGGGTTTGGCCCTGTGTGTTGCCAAATGTGATCAAGCATTTGCCCAGATTGTGCATTTGTTGCCAGTCGCTCGCCATGCCTGAGCCGTCATTCCTAAGACAGAAGCCATTATACTTTTTCCCTTTTTCAGTCTCCAACTTATACACATTATCCTGACCGAAGTGATTCATTGCGCAAAAGATCGCCTCGCCTCCTGCATCCCCCTCGTAGCCTTCACTGTACCAGCGGCGGCTAACAAAGTTCCACCAGTCGTCAGGCTTGGAGCCATCAGTGATCCATGTAGCACGATAGTCTCTCTTGAACGTCCATGATTCCTTGTCATTGTTCTTGTTTTACGTCATTTGTCAGAATTAGGTCATTAGGTAACGCATTTACCGCCAGTATCTAGACTTACCCGCACTGAAATGCTATCCGGAGGCGGTTATTTCACTCCGTATTCCTTCAGTTTCTGCGTAAATTCGTTGTTGGTTCTAAATGTGGCGGTTCTAGTCCACTCTAGAGAGTTCGAAAGAGAGTCAGAAGGGTTATTGTAAGGATCATTAGGGAACCGTAAAAACATACTGTCGTTTCTCCATGGCACCCAAAAGTCTTCCACATCGTCGTTCTTAGCGGTGTCGGCGTCTAGCATTTTCCAATTTGAGCTCATGTCACCGATCATTACTAGAATTTATCAGCGGAGTGTCTATTCCAAAAAGAAGAAAGAATTCATCCAGTCGTCATTCAACAGGTACTTACTAAGGCATTGCCCATGCCAGTTATTCTGCTAGTATGGCACGCACGCTGCTCGACGGCTGTTAGAGTCGAGATAATGCCCTCCTTGTTCAGAAGACTTCCAGGGAAGCTCGTCACACTGAAGTTTCAGAGCGCTGCCCGTGCCCATGAGGGCGTTTAAGTTATCTGTTTCGTCTGCACATGCGCCCTTCTTTCTTTTTTTGCCACTTAAGTCGGTTATAGATCCGCATTAGGCTTCGTATCTTGCTTTAGTTGCTGTTTTATCATTGGAATAGGTCAAGTCCGTCGGCAGATTGGGGATTTTCAGGATGGTGTCACAAAAGCCAGCTACCTCTGCGGTCTTGCCCTGGTTACTGGCCCGAGCTCCGGTAAGCTTCAGTCTGGAGAGATGCGCACAGTTGACTATTTCTTAGATTAACAGGAGTTTCAAATGGAATATCGTAGCAACATCAACTCACATCGTATCTCCGGCACTTGGAACCCGGAAGTTCCAGGCGGGTAAGAGCCTGGCAGAGAAAACTCTGAATCATTGGGATTATCTGTGAGAGTTATCAGCCTTCGAGCTTCTAGTCAGATCTATGGCATTCAGTTTCATACCCGCACTCCCATCTTCGCGACGAGTGAGCCCCATAGCTGCATCAAGGTAGGGCATCGTAGCATTTATGGATAGTGCTTCAGATCCCTGTCGCCGATGGATGGCGCTATCGAGTGATAGGTCTCTTGTCTCCATGTCTGACGAAGACATCGGGATTGCGCCCTTCTTCTCGTACAAAGTCACCGTGTTATCTGGCGTAAATGCTTTACGAGGGGCCAAAGCCCAGTCAATGAAACCCAGGATGTTGGCCTTAGCCTTATAACCGAGGTTATAGAGGAGGTAGGCACCAAATCGGTAATGGAAGGCATTGTCCGAGGAATCATAGTCACCATGGGCCTATCGCCTATCACGTACCCTGTTAATTAGGCGTCCATGAGAGTCTTGCCGCTGACCAGCTTGCCGCCACCAATTTTGATGCCGACATTAGCTTCAGGTGTGACAATTATATCTACCGACCTGTGTCTGATTAGCTATTATAGTGGATCATTTTAGAAGAGAACCTCGCTTACCCGCATAGAACCTGAAAGTTAACCTCATGTATCCGTACAGAACCTAGAACTTAACCTGACTTACCCGCATAGAACCTGGAGGTTAACCTTAAGTTAGGAAAATCGTCTTATTTAAATGGCTAAGTCTAACGATGAGAATCTTTAGACTGGATTCACGATAGATATAGATAATTTGACCGAAATCCTTCGAGACAAATTCATAGAGGGAGGCATAACGATTTATTTTATATAAAAATGAGGGGATTTCATATATATTTTAGTGGTTTTCTCGATAATATGTAGTTCTGTTAGTCAAGATACACATGGGTTACGGTGTTCAAAGTATATATATCTGCATCTTTACATGCAATTTCGCCGATGACCTCTACTGACCACCTACCACGTCGATATCATCGAATATTACTTATAATTTATCAGTGGCTTTGTCTTCTGTTTACTTCTGAACAATTATTTCTTCATAATTCACCACGTTAACAGAGTAATCAGACGAACGCCGGCAGGTCAACAAAACAGCTGTAAAAATCCGAGATGAATCATCACTTTTATCCAGCCAAAAGAGGAAAAGCGTCAAAAAATTATACATATGCAGGTTCATGTAGGTTCATGAGGTTGAACCTCAACGACCCTCCTTGAGGTTAAGGTTAGGTGCAGGTTAAAAACTTTGGAACCTAACCTCTTGAGGTTAGGTTCAGGTTCTGAGATTTGGAACCTATGGGCGGTTCAAAGTCAGGTCTAACTAAGAGTTGTCGGCGAAGTCAAGGTACCGTGGTTGATGGAGCATCGACTTGACTTGTGTGCTACAAATTCAACTTTGTTGCGAGAGGTCCTTGCGCAACCTATTTCATACATGTTAGACCTTGGTTGTGTGTATGGCTTCATCACCAATTACCGCCAGACCATATTCTTACGACAAAGTCAGGTCGGATCAACTTGGAGAATTGAGCATTCCCCCGTGATCAAATCATCCGTCAGATATGCGCCTCTAGACCCCGAAAATCAGTCTACCGGACCTGTGTTGTCCTTCAATCAATGTCTTCTGTATCTTGCTACCATTGCTGAAGCCCAGGGGCCGATTTCCAATCCCACTCCTCGCAGTCAATGGATCAGACGGCGTTAATCATAGTGTGCTGCCCAAATACTTTCGTGTATAGCAAATACAGTCATGCAAGCAAGAACCTGAGACAATGAAGACAGACTTCAATAAATTGCAAGTAACATCTGACATAGTACGCCTTTATTGCACCTGCAGCAATCCCTTGGTTCATATTTTTCTACTAAGCCAGCCAGGAAGGAACAAGATGGCGGATCATACTTCACACTGTATCCCGCTGTGGTTGTTTCCATATTCACCACGTCCAGCCGTTGACATCTTCGATCCAATCCGCCGTTTCGGGTGGTGTTCCTTCCCAGTCGAATCGGCTATCGGAAGGTTGGATGAGTCCGTATTGGAAGTAGTTAATATCACCCCACTGTTGAGGTTCGTTAAACGGAGATGCGAGTTTGAAACCGCAGATGTGCCTAGAGATAGTTAGATTATAATATTCCACATGGATAATCTCACATAGACACACATTTGACCACTAGACTTGTCATAAATGATCTTCGATGGACCAGCCATGCATGGCATATAACCGCATAGTAAAAACCTTCTGCTCTCTGTTAGCCCAATGTTTTGCTGTGGTCACTAGATAATCATACGTATAGACTTGGCGAAACTGATCGCGGATGGCCTGGCGATCGGTAAAGGGGAGCCTCCAGAATTCGGTTAAATTAAGAGACTCGCCGGCGACTTTTTCCCATAGAATGTATGTGATATATCCCCCGGGAACACCCTCGTCGTGGTCTTGCTGGCGCTGTTGATAGCCTAGTAGTCGAGGAATAACGTCACAGTCTAGCTTTATGAATGTCCGGAAAGCGATCAGTTCTGGATGGTCAGGAGGGGTGTCGACGGCCTGGCTAGCCCGTACGGCGGCCTTCTTCGTTTCAGTTCCAGCTATAGGAACTTGTTGGTAAATGCGTAAAAATGCGCGCCTGTTGTCGTCTACCTCACTGGCAGGTCGGCATAGGAACTTCCCGGTGGTGTCTGAGGGTCCGAGCTCCGCGGTGATGTCTTCCTTTGTCAGGCGATTCGACTCTTCCCCGAGCTTCTCAAGTATTATCCATTTCTGGGCGGGGAAGTTGAACGGTGGTTCCGCAACGGCATCAAACGTGACCTGTGTTCCTTCAAAATCGGTGAGATATTCCATTGATGAATCCATGGCAGGTAGCTTGGAGATGGGGACAAAGGGTAAAAGAAATGTGAGGGTAGAAGAGTAACTTGATAGTGATCGCATGTTGACCAAGAAAGTTTAATTTCTCCGGTTCTGCGGCAGAATTTCTCTCCTATATCAACCTTTTTTCTTTCAGCTATATGTACTGTTTGTTTGACGGTTTCTAGTGTCTCGTTCGAGCCCTCCACCCTCTACTGTAATCTCCTCGACTACGGATATTTCCAACCAACCTCCTACGGAAGCCAGTTGTATGCCTTCTCGACTATCCCTCCGGCCACCAAGCAGCCCAGTATAACAACTAGCCGCTGCAGCATGACCTGTCCCGAGGCTAATGGTCAAATCTATGTCAGCCTATACGGTATCTCTAATATCTTTCTATCGAGTCAGCCGCTTACAAGATAACCAGACTTTCTACATGTGCTATAGAATGCGCCACTACACGCCTTATCTCAACATCGAGTCGGTTTCAACCCTTGAAAACTGCATAGATCTCTGCTATGCCTCCGCTTCATGCAGTAGTGTCGTCTTTGACCAGACCGAGAACGCATGTTACCTTAGCAGCAATGACAACCCGCCAACTTACAAAGCTAGCCGCTTTGCCAGCACGCACTCTGTCAGTTGCTCTAGAGCTTGTGAAGGAGGGCAGTCCCACCCCGGTCTTCCTCAGTTTGAAACGACACAAATGCCATCAGCCAAGGTTGATAAGGCCCTTTCTCGACCTTTACATCCCCAAGGCAGGTTTAGAGCCCCGCTATATAAAGGCGATTGTCCATAAATGGCGCCAGGGAGATACATCGCTGCCCTTAGGCCACTTGACCTGTCCAACAAGATCCAGCCGAGTGATGATGAGATAGTTCAAGTGCTGAAGGGAATGACAGCCTGAACGCAGATCGGACCTTACCCTTCACTTCCAGGGCCCAGGACAGAAGACGGAACGCGCAGGACGGACGAACACGGAGACAAACGGGCCGCCCATCATCTCCAGTCCACGCGACGCTATTGCTACAGGAGTAAACCATGTTTCCTCATCCGTCTATCTCGTCCTCTATACCAATCAATCGTGAAGCCAACGAGGATTTCGGTCACAGAGCGCATTTGGTGACAGGGGTCGGGACTGCGTAGATCCCCGGAATTTGGACGGCCGCGTTCCCGAGATCATACCACAATGATGCTGCTATTCCTAGAGAACTGCAAGTCTGCGCATCATCGCCCAATGTCATCATCACTAGATTGATTGAGCTCTGCTCGCCAGTCGTTCCCTGGTTCGAGGCAGAAAACGAAACGAGCAAGACTGGACCAGCGTGGAACGAAACACAACCATCCGTGTATCCCGGGCACCGTCTGGCGGCAATGGAGTGTCCGCCTCCGGCCAGGTGATTATGGGCATAAGCACTACCCAAACGCACTCGGATCCCGCATCCCGTATCCCTTAGCACGATGCTCGATACCGCCTTTATGCCAACATTAGACTGGCAAAGCAGGATCCTAAGGAGGATCGAATTTGGGTGAAGCGGTATCTTATCCAGGCCCAGCAGAGCCCACCTATGCTGAAAGAGCAGCGGGCGTACGATCTTCTTCTCGAGTATATTGGACGACAAATGAATTTCAATGTCAGAAACCAAGCCGAGAGGGCTCAGATTGCCAGAATTTCTATTGACTCAATTGTCCTGATCGAGACCGCAGGTCACTTCCGGCGCGCCTTAGGGATCGAAATAAGCATGACCAGTCTCTCCTACGCGACCACTATCGGAGAGCTCAGTCGAGTGATCCTAGTGCAAATCTATCAGAGAACGATTAGCCCTGACGAAAATGGATCTGTATGATGCTGTGCTGCACGACGGGTTTGAAGGAGGAAAAATATTCGGACCACCTGGAGCAATGGAGATACGTACATTTGTATGGTATAAAAAGCTTCATTTTCTGTAGATCGTCCTACACCACCTGGAAAAGTCGAGATGAATGCATTTGTATAGTATGAACAGCTTCAATTGTTTTCACTCGGTGAATTTGTGTACTTTGCTAAGGCCTATGTAATACCTAAGTAGTAATTCTCATTATTCTGACAGAACAAAGTCAGGCATTAAGGCACCAAAGCACCTCCCAAATTAGGTTTCGAGCCCTGACCCCTATACCACTTCGTACCCCGTTCAGTACAGAGTCCCTACCACACCCAAATCACAGTATCCGACATCGATGTTTCTGTCATCAATCTTTCCCAACCGAGGATCTAGTTTTAGGCTAGACTCCGATATCCCCCCTCTAGATGGCAAGGTCATCCTCGTAACTGGGGGTACAAGTGGCCTTAGCAAACAGACCATTGTCGAGCTAGTCAAGTATCGCCCCGCACGTATATGGCTGGCGACGCGCAACGCTGAAACGGCGTCGGCTACCGCCTCGGAGATCAAGCAGGCGGTTGGCAATGAAAGTGTTCTCTCCATCCTCGTACTGGACCTAAGCTCACTTGAGACGGTGAGCGCAGCAGCCTAAATCGTTCGGGCGGAGTCGGCCCGACTGGATCTCCTCATCTTAAGCGCGGGAGTCATAACATCGGCGGCAGCGCAGACCACTGATGGGTACGAACTGCAGTTCGCGACTAATCATCTCGGTCACGCACTCCTGGTGCAGAAGACTGTTGCCGTTGTAACTGGAGACACAGCGGACAGATCCGCGAGCAAATGTGCGCATCGTGAGCCTAACCTCAACCACTCATCGGATAGCCCCCCTGGTGGCATTCGCTTCGAGCTGCTCCAGTCTCCTGCAGAGACTCTCTCGCTATTACCCCGCTATGCTCAAAGCAAGCTGGCCAACGTCCTGTACGCCCGCGCACTAGCTCGGCGTCAGCCCGACCTCACGGTCGTCTCTGTGCACCCGGCTATCTCGGAGTCGCCCCTCATCGGCCAGTTTGCCGAGTCGCTCTCTCTCAATCTGGATATGATCCGAGTAACCTCACCACTGTGGATGCACGATATCCAAGAGGGCGTCAAACATCCATTGTGGGCCGCGTTCGCGCCAGATGTGCGCAGTGGAGAATATTATGAGCCAGTTAGCGTGCGTGGAAGGGCGAGTCGCGATGCCTCCAATAATGAGCTAGAGCGCAAACTGTGGGATTGGACGGAGAATGAGCTACATGAATGGAAGTAAAAACAGAGCTATTAGGCAGGTATAGGACAGTATGGAGATCTTGCATCAGCGTGGAGCCTTCGAGGGATATCTATGCATGTGCTCCAGATGAGATCATGGCTAGTAGTATGTAATTTCAAATGGTTAAGAAGTTATCAGGCATGGAGGAAACATTATAAACTCCGGTCGCATCACCTGAGGGGCCAAGTTGCTGACACCGAGAAAGGTTGTGTGCTGGACACGTACATAGACGTTCCCGAGGAAATCCGCGAAGAGCTGTATACATGTATGGAAGAACAACTAGAGAAGGAATAGCTCAAGGGTGGCAATATCCTTGTAGTCGGAGCGCCGTGTCCGCTGTGATGATCACATCGCGAGGGTTGCCCGGGTTATTATAAACTACATAAGCTTAAAAGCCGGCTTGGCCGAACCTGAGAACCAGCCGAAACGCTATTTCTGAGCCGAGTGAACCCAGAGGAAACATTTAGGTCCTAGAAGCTAACACTACACAGTAATGAAGCTTCCACAGATCAGGTATCTGAGGATTTTGCTGACTCGAAGTTACTGAAATATCAGTAAAGGAAAACAAGCTTCAGGGAATCAAATGAAAAGCTCGGCGAACCAGATGACGGGGGCTCTTCACCGAAGATATCAAATCGGCCTTATCGATATTCTGCCCTCGGACTGACATGTGGCTATGTCCAGATGCCAAGAGACCGAGTGTTTTGGAGGGAACAATGCGATCCAATGATTCTCGAAATTAGTCCAGCTGAGGTCAGTGCGGCGATCGCGCGACGCTAAGGCGCCGCTCACCACTTCTTACCAGGGCGGCACCCACCCGACTATTGAGATCTGATACAGTACCTAATGAATCTATCTTTCAGTCTACGCCAATCGATCATTACGCTCACGAGGGTTCTGTGACAAGGCGCACTCGGTGGAAGAGGCCGGGAATGCGTAGATCTTCGGAATGCGAACGGGCACGCGACAAACTGCTGTAGATCGAGGGAATGGGGAATGGTTGTTTGCACAGTCTGGTGGTCATTGCCTGGTCCCTAAATCCTTCAAAAGTCTCGAAATGGCGGCCGTTAGATCTTGTAAACGCAACGTATAGACGGGATGCTGCTTTTTCGCCCTGTAGACTGCCACGGACTCGGCAACTACCAGACTTCGCGAATCGCCGCCGAATCGGCCTGATCAGTCCTTCCTTGAATCCCGAGATGATGCGAACGCTATCAGACCAGGCTGACAAGTGTCCCGCGCGGCCTTCGCATCCACAAGGCAGATTTGGAGCCCCGCTCCGCAAAGGCGATTATCTAAAAGGGGCGTCGGGCGTGTAAGTAGATGCACGGAAGGTCAACGATTGGCTAGCCGATGGGCGTGTGAGGCGACGGATCCACAGGTCGGCACAGCAGACCAAGGGCGAAATTGCCTCATGTCGATTGTAATGGTGGGAGCTGAGAGAATGGGGCCAGATGAGCGAAAGCAGCGCAGTTTGCAGTTGAGGGGTCGAGCAAGGGACACCAGGGGTTACGGAGTTCGGCGATCCGGATCAATAGCAGAAATGCCTCATCAGCAGAGCACGGACGAAGACGGGCGAGCTGAGAAGCGGGCGGGCGAAAAATAAATAGAAGTCAGCTGGGGCGATGGAGGGGTCTTTATAGAACCACGCGCGGGCACGCACAGGGACCGTCAGCGCTAAACCAGAAGGGTCAGAACTAAACCAGATTGATTCTCCATTGTAACGGTCCGATATGGTGTAGTGGCTAACATCGCCGTCTCTCACACGGCAGCCGGGGGTTCGATTCCCCCTATCGGAGTTTTCTTTTTGGTTTTCATTTTTTTTTCTCCCTTTATGACCGACCCTAGTTGCCGTTAAATATGCCAAAGAAATCTCGGGGATGAAACAGCTAATCGTGACTAAGCATTCACCTACACCCAGCCAAGGCCTAAACACAAACCAATGCCTAAACACAAAAACTTCAACCTTCAATTTTTGTCCTTACTTTTTACCACCAAAACTATGCCAATTTCGTCCGAAAAAGAAGAGATGCTTCTCTTAAATGCCGTCGATGCCTATAAATTAGGCCAATTCAACAGTATTCAGGCCGCAGCCTCTCATTTTAGTGTCTCAAAGTGGAAGCTTCGGAATCGAAGTAACGGCACGCCCAGTAAAAAAGGCCGTACAGCCACTAATAAAGCACTAAATCAGTCGTAAGAGAGATCCCTGATTCGCTGGATCGAGCTGCTTAATTCAGTATATACACCACCGACTGCTTTAGATATTGAGGGCGCTGTAAATCGCATTTTACAGCACTGCGGTTCCGACCGGCAGGTTAGTAAAATGTATGGCTACTAATTTATCGCGCGCCTACCACCACATATCACTCTCCGTACATAAAAGCCTATAGAAAAAGCGATAATCGAGGCCGAATTACACGGTGAATTAGTTCATTGGTATAAGGTCTTTGGCTAATTCCTTGAAAAGAATAAAATCTAGGCCCACGAACTATATAACTGGGATGAAACTGGCTTTCAGCTAGGCGTTAGAACTAAGGAAAACGTCGCTTCTACCCGTGAAAATGAGACTATTACGACCGGTGGAATAGGCCAGAATATCACTGGTATTAAATGCATTTCAGCCGATGGCTGGGTTATGCATCCATGGTTTTTAATGTGTGGTTCTGAATAAATTGAGGATTAGTTCGACGGCGATAATGACCCTTCTAATTATAGGGTCATTAAACTAACTGCTAAAGGCTGGACGGACGATAAAACTGCGATTCAATGGCTATTAGATTTCCATTATACCACTAAAAAGCGAGTTACTAAAGGTAGACCTAGGGTTTTAGTTATGGATAACCATGGTTCTCATGGAACCCCGAAATTCGAATACCTTTACTAATCTCTTAACATTATACCTTAAGTGGTTTATACCGAAATTAACACATCGATGCCAGCCTCTCGATGGTAAGCCATTCTCGGTCCTTAAACAGAAATTCCGAAAGAAGAATAATGAGATCGTACGATAGGGTGGAGATGTTAATGATAAACGGCATTTTCTTCGGTTAATCAAAACAGTTCGCAAAGACACATTTAAATCACGAACTATTAAATCATCATTCTATGATACTGGTATTTAGCCTTAGAATCTAAATATTGTCTGTGATTAAATTAATCCTGGCTGGGAAGATGAACTAGTGCTTAAGATCTATGGTCATACACCTTCGCCAGAGGCGGAAATTCCTAGCTCAGTCACCAATTCGCCGCCGAACTCGGATTAAAGGTTCTCAAAAAGTGAGAATAAGCTTTAAACGATATTCGAAAACGAATAGCCAGACCTTCCGAAGGTTTAAAAGCATATAAACCGTGTAATTCGTGGCGGTAAGCAGGCTATCTAAGACCTAGCCCTTGTAAAGCAGACGATTAAAAAGATGTAAAGCCACAAAATTCCTGTCAAAGAATCAAAGCGTATTATAAAGGGTGCTTCTAAGTCCCCATTATCGTTAATTACAGGCAATTCGAGGGTTCATCGACGCTATACGAAGGAAACAAAATTGGACATTAGGAATGAGAGTGCGCATGCAAGGATTCGAGACTACTGGCTTCGGGCCAACCAAGCTCTTAAAGAAAAAGAAGAGGCATCAGGAGGTAGAGATTATCTCGATGTAGATGATGAGTTCTTTAAATATGTAAATATAGATAGTATGGTGGCTGAAAAATAGGTCTGAAATTGAAAGCATGAAGTTTTTGTGTTTAGGCATTGGTTTGCGTTTAGGCCTTGGCTCACCTACACGCGGGACGGGTGTAGGTGAATGCTTAGTCACGATTAGTGGAATTGAGGAGATTGTGCCGGGGGAAAGTCCACTAAATTGGCCGCCAAGGCATACCGCGCATCAAACAAGTAATTGCAGGTGAAAACACCGGGGTAGACTCGGTGAATTACGTACTTTGTGTCTTATTCCTATCATTTTTGGAGTATGCACATCACAAATTCAAACAACAATTGAAATGCTCGGCTACCTTCCGTATTCATGGACTAATACTTCCGATCATGGGCCGAGGTTCCAGCTACATTTCGAATTTGGAACCTTGAAAGCAGATCATCGGCCTTGATTCCTGCCAAAGTTAGAGTTGTTGGTGGTGAGGCTTTTCCTGGTTGCAAGTGGAGCATGATGTACGAGAGCTGCGGGAGATGAAGTAAATATCTACACAAGAACGGGGATGATATGGAAATACAGTACTCAAACTCCAAGCTATAGTAAAATAATAAGGCGTAATAAACAAATTAAATTATATACGTACTTGTCTGGTGTATATTGATGGTCGATTGAAGAAACTTAGATATATATATTTAGCACAATGTACTTCAATCACACGATCTACGATGATCTGCGATATTACTCCAACTAAACTTCTCCAATTCCCCCTCCACTCCTCTGTACCTACATATGCAGTGAACTGCATGTTGGGACCTAAACCTAAACTATCGATGAACATATTGCCAAGTAACCTAAATCGAGAATGTCGTCGAATTCGTCGGAGCAGTAGGAATCGGATGATGTATAGCATGCATCAGCCTCCGCCAGTACATATAAACCGTGGCTATCCTTCTATATTTGCACTATACATCCCATATTTATATTTAATTTGACCTGGAGATAAAATCACAGTCAAAATGGGTTTCTCGCTTCAGAGACTCGTGGTTTTGGCTCTAGCCATTACAAGCTATGCATCTCCTTTGGTCTATTCCCGAACAGCACACACATCCCATACCAATTCCAACGGCCTGACATTCAATCACTTCAACGGTTCTCTTCCTAATGTGACCATCCTGGCCACTGGTAAGTATCAATATAACAATATATGAGATTTAGATCTGATATCCTCTAACCCTAAGATAGGCGGCACCATCGCCGGCACAAGCAACGACAGAACCGCAACAGGAGGATACAAATCCGGTGCCCTAGGAATCAACACCCTCCTCTCCGAAATACCAGATATCTTCAACATCGCCAACA